AACTTTCTACCTTTACACACATTCTCAAACTCATCCACTAACCTTTGCAATTTTTCTTTAGAATCTCCCATAAGCACAGTATCATCAGCAAAAAGTAACTGTGTCAATTCCCATTTTGAATTTGATTCCCCATAATTTAATCCCACCCCTCTCCCGAACACCCTAGCATTTACTTCTTTTACAACCCCATCTATAAATATATTAAACAACCATGGTGACATTACACATCCCTGTCTAAGACCTACTTTTACCGGGAAGTAGTCTCCCTCTCTTCTACACACCCTAACCTGAGCCTCACTATCCTCATAAAAGCTCTTTACAGCATTAAGTAACTTACCACCTATTCCATATACTTGCAACATCTGCCACATTGCTCCTCTATCCACTCTATCATATGCCTTTTCTAAATCCATAAATGCAATAAAAACTTCCCTACCTTTATCTAAATACTGTTCACATATATGCTTCAATGTAAACACTTGATCTACACATCCCCTACCCACTCTGAAGCCTCCCTGCTCATCCGCAATCCTACATTCTGTCTTACCTCTAATTCTTTCAATTATAACCCTACCGTATACTTTTCCTGGTATACTCAGTAAACTTATTCCTCTATAATTTTTACAATCTCTTTTGTCCCCTTTCCCTTTATATAAAGGGACTATACATGCTCTCCGCCAATCCCTAGGTACCTTCCCCTCTTTCATACATTTATTAAACAAAAGTACGAACCACTCCAACACTATATCCCCCCCCCCCTGCTTTTAACATTTCTGTCATGATCCCATCAGTTCCAGCTGCTTTATTCCCTTTCATTCTACATAATGCCTCACGTACCTCCACCACACTTACATTCTGCTCTTCTTCACTCCTAAAAGATGGTATACCTCTCTAACCAGTGCATGAAATTACCGCCTCCCATTCTTCCTCAACATTTAAAAGTTCCTCAAAATATTCTTGCCATCTACCTAATACCTCCCTCTCCCCATCTACTAACTCCCCTACTCTGTTTTTAACTGACAAATCCATACTTTCCCTAGGCTTTCTTAACTTGTTTAACTCACTCCAAAATTTTTTCTTATTTTCATTAAAATTTCTTGACAGTGCCTCTCCCACTCTATCATCTGCTCTCCTTTTGCACTCTCTCACCACTCTTCACCTTTCTTTTACTCTCCATATACTCTGCTCTTGTTATAACACTTCTGGTTTGTAAAAACCTCTCACATTATTATTATTACATTTAAAGGATCATACAGTGTCTGTGGAATGGGAGGCATCAAGTTCAATCCAAGAAAGAGAAAGACAAGCCCAATTCCTTGGATCAAGACCCCTTCACCAGCATCAAGGAACCTCCCTTGAGAGGTTCCTAGATCAAGAACCATGGGAGTGCAACAACTGGAGTTCTCCTTGGATCACCTTGTATCCTCTGATATTCCACTATTCCACTGTCATTATTAGTGATTAGTAATGCAGCAGCAACAGACACTAGTCGGTGGGGCTGGAGTGATCAAGTGCTAAAGTGCTAAACCCGTAGGGATTATACAGTGCCTATGGGGGGATGGAAGGTATTTAGACTCAATTTAGGGAACTGGAACACAAATCAAGTTCCCCAGATCAAGAGCCCCTCACCAGCATCAAGGAACCTTCCCTGAGGGGAGAGTGGTCAGTTGAATCGACGTGTGGAGGTAAATCTGTAAATAAGAAATTTGTGGGTAACTGTAGATGTACTATTTAGGACAGGAGTGGATGTAGGGGGATGTGGTGAGTGAGAAAGTGAAGGGAAGGAGGATGGGTTAATGTCCTCTTGGAATTTTTTGTTTTCAGTATAATCCCATATAGCTACAAGTGTTTCTGTAGATTATAAAGCTAGGGGTGGAAGACGTAGATGAAGTAGACAATGGAGAGACATTGGTAACTGGTAGAATGGGAGGATATTGAGAGAATAATGTACAGTGGAACCTCTGGTCACAACCATAATTCGTTCCAAAACTCTGGTCGTTACCCGATTTGGTCATGACCCGAACCCAATTTCCCCATTGGATTGTATGTAAATACGATTAATCCGTTCCAGACCCCTATGAATTTTAAGAGTTTTATGCACAAAAATAGTTAATTATACCATAGAATGCAGTGTAATAATAAACTCAATGTAAAAATGCAAATGCATTTGTGGTCACAGTGGTGCCTATGCTACCCTTCCTATGGTGTGGAAATATGCCTAGTTGGATGAATCTTATTGAAGCTAGCTGGCCTAGTGGTTAATGCCACAGTCTGGAGTTTTGAGACACACTGAGGGGTGTGAGGAGCAGAGGTATGTGAAGAGCAGGGGTGTGTGAGGAGCAGAGATGTGTGAAGAGCAGGGGTGTGAGAGGAGCAGGGGTGTGTGAGGAACAGGGGTGTGTGAAGACCCAGAGTGTGTGAGGTGCAGGGGTGTGTGAGGAGCAGGGGTGTGTGAGGAGCAGGGGTGTGTGAGGAGCAGGGGTGTGTGAGGAGCAGGGGTGTGTGAGAGTAGGGGTTAGTGGAGGTAGGAGAGAGTTCAAGAGTGAAATTCAAATCAGTTGATGTACTAGGTTAGTTCCTGTTCAAAAGTCAAGTGTGTCTGAATGAAGGTGAGATTTTCAGTGAGGATGCTAGTCAGATTTAGTGTGTTGGGGCAGTAGATGGTTTGAGAGGGAGGATAGCTGCAATTCCTTTGTTCGAGAACTCTTCACCAGCATCAAGGCAACTCCCCTGAAGGAAACAATGCTATTAACATGAGCAAACAGGGATACTGCATTATGATTATTTTAGTTCCTCTATATACATCAGTTCTTCTATATATTACTTTTTTTTATTTTAGTTCCTCTATATACATCAGTTCTTCTATATATTACTTTTTTTTCTGTAGCTCTAGTTAGATCATTTCCACACCATATTATTATAGTTTTGCATAAGTACTGAACATGTAAGCCATATGGGGTAGTGTGGACGTTTTTATATAGTATCCTACATACGTGCTGCAGGCAGAAGTCACCTTATACCCATGTTGTGGGCAGTAGTCATCCCATACCCATATTGTGAACCATTCATTCCACACACATGCTGGGTTTAGTGTACTTACACGGAAAAATAATTTTTCTTATGAAGTAGAGGATTATAGTTTGCGTGTTACACTTCTGAAAACTGCATTCCTAGTGATTTCCAAGACTTATGGACTGAAAGATATAATATGGGAAAATAGGGTTGCATTCTTCAGACCTCTGGGAGAACTATAACAAAATTTTATATCATAAAAATAATAGTTTTTCTTACTAAACATTGTCAGTGATGCTGTGAAATAGTAACTGAACTATAATGAAGTTCAGACAGTTAAAAGAAATAACATTAGCTAAAAATAGTTACATTAATACTGTACATTATCTGTTACTAACCTTCAAGTCAAGTTCAGGATGCTTAGCATGTTGAAGCAAGTGGGGAGGGTAGCTGTGGACCTATTCCTCATTCTGTTCATTGTGTCCCACTGAGGATAACCCATTGCACAAGCCATCATCTTTGCCTTATCTCAAATAGACTGAATCGTTGATTCTTTAATGCCAAACACTAGTGCCATCTCCATGATTCATGTACCACCCTTCAGCATCTAAATTACTTCGTTTTTAGCAGTAAGCATAGTTTCCTGTTTAATCTTCTTGGTTACTTCGCCAGCACTTTGTTTGGAAACCATGATAAATATCCAGACGAGATTGGGAGATGAAAAGAAGGAAAATAATGAGCAATGTGCACTGAGCTAAAGTTGTATGGTATGATTCCAGATACACTGACCTGTGGGAGGTTTGTTTGTTTACATCCCATCACCCTCCCCTGCATTGCTAAGGTAATATTGTTCCCTGTGCATTAGGGAGGTCTTGGGCCTGCCTGCTGTGGTGCTCCTTAACAGGAATGTGCACCAACAATGGAAATGAATTTCCCTCCCACCTGCCTTAATGGAAATGGGTGTACTTCTATTAGAAATAACCTAAATTTAAATAACATAATACTGGAAACACGAGTTATGATCACGACTTAAAGGTTTTCTACTGTGTATAGTAACTATGTTCTGCACTGAAGGTAGCTGGCAAGAGGCAATCCACTTTGCCTGTGGTTGCCGAGACATACAGAGCAATGCAGGATATGTAAATTCTTGTAAACTAGAGATTTTAGTGTATTAGCATACGGGGTTCTTCCAGACAAATGCAAACAAAGATAGCCCCGAGCTGAGATTGCTGCCCAAGGATGAAGAGGTCGTCTTGTCTTGAGGAAGGGCCGCATCAGAGAAAGAGCTTGCCACAAGAACCAACCTCAGTGCTAGCCCTCTGGTGGGTGCTCTTGAAAACAGGCCCTAGGCCAACAACTCCCCTAGTGGGAGCTTAGGGAAACATTTGGAGTAGGCATACTGATACATGTATAACTAAACTGCCATTTGGTATTTATAAATTGTTTGTTTTTTAATCTTTAAAACACTTGAAGGCATCCGAAAACATCTACAAGATATTCTCTATGTGAACAAGACAAATCCTTCAAGGCTAGAAAACTCCATTCCAAGGGGAAGAGGTAATAAAACAAGACAGTAAAATACTACATACATTAGATGAATACCAACAAACTTTGGGAATAAACACACAGTATGTGACACTTAGAACATTTTATTAGACTTTTATCCTGTTTGGACTGAAGGTCTTAGTATGCAGAACATCTAATAAAATGTCCTTGGTGTTAGATGTGCATCTTTACTCTCACAAAGCATAAGATAAAATAAATTTTTCTATTTGAAAGTTATTAATTTCCATGCTCAATTTTTCTTTCATTCATTACTAAACCCAAATTATTATTATTATTATTATAATCAAAAAGAAGCGCTAAGCCACACTAAACCCAAATGAGTAATAAAATATTAATTTCCATGCTCAATTTTTCTTTCATTCATTACTAAACCCAAATGAGTAATAAAAAATCTTTTCAATACAAGGAAAATAAAGGCACAAGAGATTTTATTTTTATTTGACTTTTCTTTTTGCTCTATTGTGTTTATAATAAGAATATAAAATGACAGCCCATGGAGGGCATTGTACTAGTTGCAAGAGTAAATAATGTTTACCTGCATCCTCATCAAATATGTACACAAATACAGGTAAGGGTAACCTGTACATTCATAACCCTACCTCTGGTGGCCATCTGCTCCTAAGATTCATATTAACATGACTAGGAGCTAGAAGATGGTTGTACCCACCAAAAACTTGCCTATAGTAGGTAAGATACTCTACACAATGCTGTTTATCTGCTTCACATATACATAAAGGCATCTAGTGTATTACAGGACCTGCTTTATGCCCTACTGCTACAGCAGTCAAACATAGCGGTATTCTTTTTGGTATTTTGATATTTTATAATTTTTTAAAATAAGAATTTTTCTGCTATAATCTGTACACTTAACAGCAAAATTTGCAATTGGTTTAACAGGAACAGAGACCAATAGCCAAATATTAATTTAATGTCTTGGCTAAGTAACAAATTTCCCAATATTCTGCAAATGTGACAGAATGTGTAAGACTTTCTTCTGTGTCTTGTAATACTGCAATGTGCCATCAAACTTGCTACAAAGGCTGGCCAACTCTGATGACAAACAACTAGTCTACATCTGGGATTATCAGATACCCCTTCAGAGTCATCCACACAACTTGCACTCTTTCTTTCATTTAACTACAAACTAGTCAGCCATCACACTGACTTCTCATCTCGAGTCTTATATTCCTGAATTAAATAATAGGCACAGAAATAAACACAGACAGAGCAGCATTTTAACAAGAAATATACATTTCTCGTATTCAAACTTTTACAATATTTTGCTCTTGCAGCTCTTACAGTAATGCAAGGAGTCATCTTGTAAAAAATCTCACTAACGTAAAAACAAACAGATCACAGATGCTGTGGTTGGCAGGCACCACGGCAACAGCCACTGCCACTACCCACATTTTGAGTTGGTATAGGTTGGTAGCATAGGCATGTCTTGCTCATATGGCAATTTGCCCATAACTGTGGTTGCACAATTAAAATTAGTAGTCACAGAATACTCAACAGGAACTATGAAATTTTAACATTCAGTGTTCCAATACATGAGACTGAAATCATGTAAGGTCTGAAAATTACAGAAAAAAACTTGTTTAATGTAGACTGGATGCGATAACTGCCTAACGAAGATTTAGATGTAGGTATGCGAGTGTGAGTGTGTGTGGGTGTATACATGTGTTAAATGTATGTGTAGCATAAATATACACACACATACTGGTAGTTTGCATGCATATTATAAAATACATGCCTCTGTTGTGAGCTCTTTTCCTATGCACAAAATACAAACTATGAACTAAGCACGAGATCTTGAGACACGTGTCCCTATATTGTGATATGGGCTGACAGAATTAGTGTCTTTCATGTATGACACCAAGATCAACACATACCCACCCAAAATGCCCACATACAAATTAATCGACTAGAAAGACAACTTGAAAGTTAAAAAACAAAAACTTACTATTCTAATACCAACATGGGATTTTATCCTCCTCAAAACAAAAACCATCTGCTCAAATACTTTCAACTGATTCATTTCCTCGTATATTAAAAAAAAATGTAATTATCAAAATCATATAGTTTTACCAAAATTTTAAACATTTTCTCATTCCTTCAGTCATTTAACAAATAAATGAACGCCCCTCAAGATACATCTTGCAATTGTTTTATATACAGTATACAGCCTAGAAGCAGAATAATATTTGTGTTTTTGCCTGTGACTTATGTTTATTCCTTAATAGTGAAGTATATTTTGCCCTGGGCTAAGTGTTACAGGACTAGATTAAAACTTCATAGGCATCACTTCATTTTCATTTTTTAGTGATTTTTCCCCATAAATCCTTAGAGAATGTCACTGTACCACTGTAAAAGGCTGCAATTTTCTAAAGACTTCACAAATGTAAAATATACAATGGTAATTATAACATGAAATGCTCTTCACTGTGTTGACTAGAAGTCAACACAAAAAAACAAATTTACATTAATTTTCATTGTGTTGATAGTGAATATATGGGCAACAGGAAAAATCAACTCCTAGGTGTTAATTATCAGGTTATACATTATTAAATATTCAGCAGAATTATACTGACTTACTCTGTAACTTGAGTAGGGGCATTAGCTCAAAAAATATATATATAATAAAAAATAGCTAAGTACATATTGTTTTAATTATTTCTCACCATGCTATGGAAAAAAAAAGATATACAAAGCTTAAATCATCACATGCAAGTAATACATACTGTAGTATATAATTTTTTTAAATAAACACTCACACACTCACACATACATATATACACATATTTGCAGAACAAAAGACTTCGTGGCAATTGAATCTTAAGCTATTTTTTCCTGAGTAATTGTATATAGATTTGAAAGACAAAAATAAAGTAAAACAAATTCAGAACTGTCGTCATATGTTAACCAAGTTACATGTCAAGTCATATGTTAACCAAGTTAATATCTAGTTATTTACATTCCTTCTCAATGAGAAAGTTAAACTAACGAGTGGATACACAAATTATGAAAATTCTTCTTACCGACAACTTTTTCAACTTTTATTGGCATCCTATGCAACGATTTAAACCTCATTCCATACTTGCTTAGTAAATTAAACTGGAAGTAACATTACTTCAGATAAGAGAAAATAATGAACCAGCCACCTTCAAATGCTTTCACAAACCTTGATTCATCAACTGCCTTAGTTTATAACTGTTTACTTATTATAGTATATACATCCTTTATAGCACAGGAATCAATTAATATAGAAAATATAAATACAAAACAAATTAAAATGATAATTAACAAAGTAATGCAATCAGACATAATAAAAATATAATACACATTAAAGGCTTTCCTCTTGGCCATGAGGGAAAGTGAAGGTGAGCACAGCATCAGGAGTATTAAGATTTATAAGCACTTGATACATATACTACTTCCCAGTATATCAACACCAATACTGATTATTCGGCAACCACTCTAGCACATTTTGTATTCTGTATCGTAAGTCTGAATGACAAGCATCAAAATAAATACACATTCTATATTATTTGAACATTCAATAACAAACTGCAATGTATTATTATGTTTATTTTTTACAATAAATGTAGATTTTAACCTCAGAGAAAAGACTGAGGTTCCTTTCTGCATCTTCAGTCTAAAAATAACCTAGTTGTCTTTTCCTCCATATAAAAATGCATTACTAAACTTAGTACCAGAAAAAAATAAACTAAGGATTCTAAAACCCTTGATTTGCAGTTCTGAATAACTTCAGCATTGGTGTATACTGTATAACTCCTACACTCAGCTAAATTTTTTGACTAACTTATTGTATAAGAGCATGATATCACTGATAATTACATGTTATTGTTTGTAACCTATTGAATCTTTTTTTTTTTAAACTAAGGCAAGAACTGTTACCATTATTCTCATTATGGCAACATAAATTTCTTTAATTTATGGAAATAAGGCATAAACATTATCTTTCATTTGAAACCATTCTCCCATTCAGAAGTGTGTGCATCTCTGCAATAAGTTGAAAATCCCATTACTGTAAATATTTCATACAAGTTAGAGTTAACATCAGTTATGTTTACCCATGGTATTGGATAAAGCTGATAAGAGGAATGATTTTGTGTTCCTCATCCTGCATCATAATACACATGCTAGTAATGATGGAACAAACTGATGCTTTACTAATTATACATGATTATGCATTGGGATTTAATTTGATGAACCAAATATTTGAGCCATGAACATCTCTAGGTGACAATCACTGTATGGAACAAGGCTACAAAACAGAGGTATCGAGTGTTCATGAAAATATACGTTGTAGTGTCAACCAGAGCTTGGTTAAGTGATAATATTTGTGTATGTGGATGTATATATAAAGCACACACAACACTGCTAATTACATGGCTCATTATCAATACCTTTTCATAACTACGTATTGTCATTCGGAAACACGCTCATGTTTGCAATGCATTATTTTTACATTAAACTGACAGAATTCCTACAAACATTGAGAATAAATTAGGAAGCATTGGTTTGAAATTCTTGTTAATAATGTAATTCTTTAATGTACATTGGCCATATATTTCTACATTTCTTCATCTAAGAGAACTTGTAGATTTTTTTTTTTTTTGCAGATAAAACCCATTTCCTTAAAAAATTATTCAGAATCAGAAGGCAATGACAAAACAGATCCTTAATATTGAAAAGGAATTTATAGTGTACTTTGTAACAATTTTAGGATTTTACCATTCTGTATTAACAAATATTAATGTGTAAATACAGTACACTTTGCAACATATATCAAAACATTTTATACCTCTTAAGTATTTAATGCCAAATATTGCAATTAATTTATACTTTTTTCTTAGAATTGTAATCTTTTCGAAATTCCTATTACGGAAGCTATTTTCAAAGAATATTGCCAAGTAAGCTGAAAAGTGTCATCCACAAAAAAAAAAAAAAGGGCAACTGTATATACAGTATATACAGCACTCTACATAAATATATAGGATACTATATATATAGTATATAATATTGATATTAAACACTTGATTATTCGAATCCTCAGGTAAACTGAACACTTTCCAATTCAGATATGACTCCTCGTTCATCCCAGGACTGGTTCAAATAAGCAAGAGAATCCCTATAATCTGGCTTTATGTTGCAATAAAAGGTTATTCGTTATAAATGCATTATTCACCTGCTAAAATAAATGTGATCAGGTATATCTTCTTCCCGAGGCTAACGTATTGTTTATATTTCCTCTGGTGTTCTAGCATAAGGCACAAATCTCTGCCTAAAAGATTTTATCAGTGTTTAATAGACTGTCATTTTTTAACAAACTGCACTGATTATTGTATAAAAAAGATGTCTAACAGCACTACTGATGAGGATTAACAGTGGCAAGAGGAAAATGAAGCTGGTAGAAATTCAAGAAAAGATTAAACTGACCAAAGGATTGAGTATGGAGACTGTTATTCTTACCAAGAGAATATTGGTATTATAACAAGTACTGTTTGCTATGTAAAAAAGAAAAGAAAGAAACCTGAGGTTTGCTGCTAAAAGAGAGCAAAGAGCAAGGTGGTCTGAACACAGGAATTTTAAAAATGCTGCAAATACATGATTCATACAGCAATATACAACAGGAATAGTGGTATGAAGTGAAGCTCTCAAGGCTACAGATAAATTTGCTAAAACTTAGGCATGACTGATTTTAATGTGAGCAATGATTGAACTGGAAAATGTTTATTCTAGGCCTAACAGCAGTAACATATAGTTAATGAGTCCTTAATAGGAAGAGCATAGAGTCTAACAAGAAATGAAAAGATTATATTTTGAGAACATGCTTCCATTTTATTCAATTTATAAGGATGATCACACTGGTTTGTATTGAGAGGTTTGTTAAATAGTAATTTGGCTAGTTCATTTTATTTCTGTAACTTATAATCATGATGTGGCAAGATACCATCCACACTTAAGGGTGATCAGAGAGCTTATAAGGGGGTCAATATTATATTAAAAAATATTCACTAAATCTGTGGGCCATACAGCTCTGTAAGAAGGGGTGTGCAAGGGTAGGGGTTAGTGTGGATCAAAAATTTAAGTAAAAATTTGTGAATAAGTTAGCTTCCATCAAAAAGTGAAAGAATTAAGTCTGCATTAACAGTGGGACTTGCTTGAGGTGGTCAGTTAGACCAAGTGTGTCTGGGCATTGTAGATGTCTTGAGGTGAATTCTGCATGCTCTCTGATAATTAAGACAAGTCTTTCAAGACATGAAGAACTGATAATTTGAGATATGGCATCCTTGCAGAAAAGTGCCAAGACATTTCTCCATGTAGTATCTGAAAGTTGTGTGTGTCCCCTATTTATCACAAAAAATTACTTACCAACTCATCAGAAGTGGAAAGTTGGCCAGGAATTTAACTGTGGTTTGATAATTTAGTGTATCATAACTTGGAATAAGGTTTTCGCCAGCAGTTCTGAAGTTGCTGAGAGTACTAGAAAACAGTTAGGGAAGGGAAAGCCTGTGGGAGATTAGTAGTTTGTGAATAGCTGAGTGGCATGTCCACTGACCCAGCAAAAAATGACTTTTGTACTCTCTAGAGATGTGAAAACATTCAATTAAACTAGAAAACATCAAAACTTGCCATTTTTTAATTAGAACTCCAGTAGAGGACAATGATCGAACAATGGCTCTACTTCTGGAAGCCAAGAATAACTGTTGCCAAGTTAAAATCAAGTATAGGTTAACTTGTAAAGTTACCTTTAGTTGTACAGTAGGACCCCCATATCCGTGGGTTCGGTTTCCATGGTTCCAGTTATTCGCAGTTTACAGCGACCCAAAAATATTAAATAGAAATTCCAGAAATTAACGATTTGTAAGTTTCAAATGTAGTTAAACTGTGTGTGTGTGTGTACAAGATATTTTTCATTGCTCCATCGTCCCTTGAGGGTTAAGCTAAAACATCGGAATCCCTTTCATTCGAGAGAGAGTGAGTGTGCACAAGTATAATAATGTACAATATATTTTTATTATTATTTAATGTTTGTAATGTTTTATTGTGCATAATTTACCAATTAAACTTTATCATAGATATGCATGTAAACAAAAAATGGCTTGTATATAAGGTTTGCTGCTATCCGTGGTTTCGGGGGAATCCACAGGTCTTGAAATATATCACCAGCGGATGCAGGGGGGCTACTGTATCAAGTCGCTAATAGACACCTTTTCTCCTAGTTTTGTAAAGTTCATATTTAAATGTAAACAGCATATATGGTGTTTCAAATGATAATACTGCACTGTAAATGATTAATAATATACAGTATTATAGAATATAAAATCCTTTGGGCCAGAGTTTTTGCCATTTGATGGTGACAGGAAAACAGATGTAGCTCAGCCAAAATAAATTAAAAACAAAAAATTTATTCTAGAGTTTAAATTTCACATCATTCAGGTAATTTGGTATCATAGTATGCACAAATGCACTGCATTAATAAGATCACAACCCTTTTAGCCCAAATATAAGTAGAAATCTCTAGATCGTTATGATTTTTTTTAATATCGGAACACCCAACCTTCCTCCCTCCCTGATACAATTAATTTGCAGAATCAAGTGTCTACTATATATAGTTTATTGAAGCACACACGCAGCACACACACATACACACACACATGCTTCTTTCCATTTCACTATGCTTCATTTGTATTATATGCATGAACCACTCCCTGCTCATGAAGGAGAAACAGTCGTCTTTCTACAGCTTGTTTGTAACGTGTGAGAAGAGAGCGGTCAGAGTCGTGTGCTACTTGCTGAGCTAGAGCATGTAGTAGTATCTGTGCGGTTTGATAGCGTCGGAAGCATTCCTCAGGTTTTCCAAAGAGCTCGTCTAATGCAGCACTCTGGCACTGTAAAGTTAGAAAGATAATTGGTAAAATCAACACACAGTCACCCGAGTATCAGTATTAGGAAGACAACAGAGCAAATGGTAATTTCAAAAGATACTTTTATTTTCCTGTGTTTCTTATGAAGAAACACAGGAAAATAAAGTGTATAATGAATGCAAGAAGTTTGTGGTACTTACCTGTCATCTTCAGCTGTATGTTCATAAGACAAAAAATCAGCAATCCTGCCAGAGTGCACAATATTTAACAGGCTTACAGGATGGTAGTACCTCCATTGACACACTCATAATATTTATAGTGCTTGAACCAGACATATTACAGTACAATAGTTATATATGACTTCTTAAAATACTTTTCTAAGCAAATTGTTTAGTTAAGTCAATGCAAGATAAAATCCACAACTGTACATGAATTCCTTTCTCCATAATTTTTTAGTACTGGAGTAAAATAAATATTGGATGTGAAAAGTGGGTTATAGTAAGCGTGTATGCACCTGGAGAAGAAAGAAGTGTAGAGAGAGAGATTTTGGGAAATGTTGAGTGAATGCGTGGAGAGTTTTGAATCAAGTGTGAGAGTAATGGTGGTTGGGGATTTCAATGCTAAAGTGGGTAAAAATGTTATGGAGGGAGTAGTAGGTAAATTTGGGGTGCCAGGGGTAAATGTAAATGGGGAGCTTTTAATTGAGCTATGTGTAGAAAGAGATTTGGTAATAAGTAATACATATTTTATGAAAAAGAGGATAAATAAATATACAAGGTATGATGTAGCACGTAATGAAAGTAGTTTGTTAGATTATGTATTGGTGGATAAAAGGTTGATGGGTAGGCTCCAGGATGTACATGTTTATAGAGAGGAAACTGATATATCGGATCATTATTTAGTTGTAGCTACAGTTAGAGTAAGAGGTAGATGGGAAAAGAGGAAGGTGGCAACAAGTAAGAGGGAGGTGAAAGTGTATAAACTAAGGGAGGAGGAAGTTCGGGGGAGATGTAAGCGACTGTTGGCAGAAAGATGGGCTAGTGCAAAGATGAGTAGTGGGGGGGTTGAAGAGGGTTGGAATAGTTTTAAAAATGCAGTATTAGAATGTGGGGCAGAAGTTTGTGGTTATAGGAGGGGGGGGGGGCAGGTGGAAAGAGGAGTGATTGGTGGAATGATGAAGTAAAGGGTGTGATAAAAGAGAAAAAGTTAGCTTATGAGAGGTTTTTACAAAGCAGAAGTGTTATAAGAAGAGCAGAGTATATGGAGAGTAAAAGAAAGGTGAAGAGAGTGGTGAGAGAGTGCAAAAGGAGAGCAGATGATAGAGTGGGAGAGGCACTGTCAAGAAATTTTAATGAAAATAAGAAAAAATTTTGGAGTGAGTTAAACAAGTTAAGAAAGCCTAGGGAAAGTATGGATTTGTCAGTTAAAAACAGAGTAGGGGAGTTAGTAGATAGGGAGAGGGAGGTATTAGGTAGATGGCGAGAATATTTTGAGGAACTTTTAAATGTTGAGGAAGAAAGGTAGGTGGTAATTTCATGCACTGGTCAGGGAGGTATACCATCTTTTAGGAGTGAAGAAGAGCAGAATGTAAGTGTGGGGGAGGTACATGAGGCATTACGTAGAATGAAAGGAGGTAAAGCAGCTGGAACTGATGGGATCATGACAGAAATGTTAAAAGCAGGGGGGAATATAGTGTTGGAGTGGTTGGTACTTTTGTTTAATAAATGTATGAAAGAGGGGAAGGTACCTAGGGATTGGCGGAGAGCATGTATAGTCCCTTTATATAAAGGGAAAGGGGAAAAAAGAGACTGTAAAAATTATAGAGGAATAAGTTTATTGAGTATACCAGGAAAAGTATACGGTAGGGTTATAATTGAAAGAATTAGAGGTAAGACAGAATGTAGGATTGCGAATGAGCAAGGAGGTTTCAGAGTGGGTAGGGGATGTATAGATCAAGTGTTTACATTGAAGCATATATGTGAACAGTATTTAGATAAAGGTAGGGAAGTTTTTATTGCATTTATGGATTTAGAAAAGGCATATGATAGAGTGGATAGGGGAGCAATGTGGCAGATGTTGCAAGTATATGGAATAGGTGGTAAGTTACTAAATGCTGTAAAGAGTTTTTATGAGGATAGTGAGGCTCAGGTAAAAGTAGGTCTTAGACAGGGATGTGTAATGTCACCATGGTTGTTTAATATATTTATAGATGGGGTTGTAAAAGAAGTAAATGCTAGGGTGTTCGGGAGAAGGGTGGGATTAAATTATGGGGAATCAAATTCAAAATGGGAATTAACACAGTTACTTTTTGCTGATGATACTGTGCTTATGGGAGATTCTAAAGAAAAATTGCAAAGGTTAGTGGATGAGTTTGGGAATGTGTGTAAAGGTAGAAAGTTGAAAGTGAACATAGAAAAGAGTAAGGTAATGAGGGTATCAAATGATTTAGATAAAGAAAAATTTGATATCAAATTGGGGAGGAGGAGTATGGAAGAAGTGAATGTTTTCAGATACTTGGGAGCTGACGTGTCGGCGGATGGATTTATGAAGGATGAGGTTAATCATAGAATTGATGAGGGAAAAAAAGGCGAATGGTGCATTGAGGTATATATGGAGTCAAAAAATGTTATCTATGGAGGCAAAGAAGGGAATGTATGAAAGTATAGTAGTACCAACACTCTTATATGGGTGTGAAGCTTGGGTGGTAAATGCAGCAGCGAGGAGACGGTTGGAAGCAGTGGAGATGTCCTGTCTAAGGGCAATGTGTAGTGTAAATATTATGCAGAAAATTCGGAGTGTGGAAATTAGGAAAAGGTGTGGAGTTAATAAAAGTATTAGTCAGAGGGCAGAAGAGGGGTTGTTGAGGTGGTTTGGTCATTTAGAGAGAATGGATCAAAGTAGAATGACATGGAAAGCATATAAATCTATAGGGGAAGGAAGGCGAGGTAGGGGTCGTCCTCGAAAGGGTTGGAGAGAGGGGGTAAAGGTGGTTTTGTGGGCAAGGGGCTTGGACTTCCAGCAAGCATGCATGAGCGTGTTAGATAGGAGTGAATGGAGACGAATGGTACTTGGGACCTGACGATCTGTTGGAGTGTGAGCAGGGTAATATTTAGTGAAGGGATTCAGGGAAACTGGTTATTGTCATATAGTCGGACTTGAGTCCTGGAAATGGGAAGTACCATGCCTGCACTTTAAAGGAGGGGTTTGGGATATTGGCAGTTTGGAGGGATATGTTGTGTATCTTTATACGTATATGCTTCTAAACTGTTGTATTCTGAGCACCTGTGCAAAAACAGTGATTATGTGTGAGTGTGGTGAAAGTGTTGAATGATGATGAAAGCATTTTCCTTTTGGGGATTTTCTTTCTTTTTTGGGTCACCCTGCCTCGGTGGGAGACGGCCAACTTTTTTGAAAAAAAAAAACAAAAAAATCTATACCTACTTCTATAATGAACATGTTTGAGTTATTGTGCTTGTCAAATGCTTTCTGTGCCTAACCTGCAATGTTAATCTATACTACTTTATGGAGATTTTTCAACTTAAATATCTGCCTGTCTGCTTGGCATTATTAAATTACATACAATCATCCTTCAATTAAAAACTTCAAATTTATTTATTTATACATACAAGTATACATGGGACAGTGATAGTGTGAATGATGGTGAAAGAGATTCTTTTTTGGGTCACCCTACCTCAGTGAGAGATAGCCAGTGTGTTTTAAAAAAAAAAAAAGGTATACATTGCATCTGGCTAAATATAAGAAACTTGCACACGGCAAATAGATTAGAGAACTATCTGTAACACTTACCATTTCAATAGCATAATTGTAAATTAGCTTGTCAGCTGTTATAGTGGATGTTCTTGGATCTACTGCTGTCACTGCTCCTGAACTGTTTAATTCCTTGCAGACACTCAATGCTTGTCGAAATCTGTCATTTAGCACACCAACGACTGTAATATAAACATGCATTTAATAGACAAACACAAAGAATGCCACTGTATCACTAAATCACCTGAAAGTTAGAGTTTTAAACATATTACTAAGTGTAATGATTGCTGGTGAAATAAGACACCCACTAGGGAAAGGATATTTGAAACACTAGTAAATACTCTCATCCTTTAATGACAAGAAAACGGTGACTCAACAGAAAGCAACTTTTCTGAGGCTACCTATAAAAATAAATTTTACAGTGCAATACAGTTGAAACCTTCGACTGTAATGTTTGATATGAATGAGAAATAAAATTTACCATTCTTGACAGCATTTGAGGGCTGTAGTCTGCTAACTGACTTTTCATGTTTTGCTAGAGTGAGTGCTGAAGACAGCAGTTGCAAGGCTCGGACATACAGTACCAGTTGCTCTGCTCTTCGCTGCCACTCTGGTGGGGGAGAGGCCATTGTAGAACCATCGGAGTCTCGAGGTGAACCTGTAAAATTACCATAATAGTTTACCACCATACCGAATTAATATAAGAAGTCACTTTTTAACACATTTTGAGTACTGATGAGCTGATAAAAATTGAACAACATGCATACACATTAATTATGCCATCTGCTTCATTAAAAAAAAAATGCCTAAAAATAAAACTTTGTTGCAATTAAACATCCTAATGTTCTGGGTCAATTCTGACTTCAGATTTGGAATCAACATAATTATGGCAATGAAGGACAAAGTTTCTTTCTTATCTAGTGCAATTTAAAGGGTCCTCCCTGTCTTCTCTATAAAATATTTACACAATGTGTGTGCCATTTCCCATTTCTTTGCTAAGTTATCTTCCTGTAGTGAAATCTCCCATGCATTCCTTTACAATTCATGGTGATATTTCATTAGGTTCTATTGCCCTTTTATGTTTTTGTCAATATCCAATGGTAGATTGTTTACAACCTCAATAAACAGACAATATGATGTTTAACGAGAACAAGATTCAATTGTTTTGCTTTGGAAGAATGCAAGAAATAAAGGCTAAAGGAGTAGTGGACAAAGTTCAATCATTCAATACAGCAAAAGTCCGATAGGCGAGATTTAGAAGGAAAGATGTCAAAAGATTTCACATTCAAATATCACAATAATGTTGCCATTGCTACCAGAAGGCCAATGACAGGCTGGATAACTAGAACTTTCAAGACAAGAGATTCTAAGTCAGTGGTTCTCAACTGGTGGTCCATGGCGACATTTTGGGTGGTCCATAGAACGCTCACTATATTGGGTAATAAAGTGAAGATTGGTGCATATAGTCTTAAATTTATCAAAAATAAAGTGTGGCTCAGCAAGAAGAGAATCCAAACGTCTGGTTACAAGGAAATGTGAAATAATCATATTTCAAAGAAAAATGTTGGCTGTATACTTCATAATTTCAAAATTATGTTCGTTAGAAAGAAATTTCATAGCAAAATGTTAGATATGTATTCATTTATTTCCAGGAAATTATATTTTTATGAAATATTTCATACCAAAATGTTAGATATCTATTATTTTATATAACTTCTCGAATTTCTGTTTATAAGAAATATATTCCAAATCAAATTGTCTGTTGTCTATGCTTTGCCTTTATATATCATTATTCAAAAAATGAAATGGTCCACAATATTTTTATAATTGGGTTGGTGGTCCATGGACCGAAATGAGTTAGAACCACTGTTCTATGCCAATGTTGATACTCTTTAATTAAAATCACTTGTTCTCTCCAGGCTGGAATACTGCTGTACACCAACAGCCCCCTTCAAGGCAGGGGAGACTGCTGAGCTGGGAAACATACAAAGAACCTTCACTGCTCGTATACACTCAATCAAGCATATGAACTACAGTGGAACCTCAAATTTTGAACGTATCATTTATCGAACATTTCAAAAATGGAACCCTTTTTTCGAACCAGCTTTGTCCCACTATCGAACGCGCCCATATTTTCAGACCACCAGGTACCGGACCTGTCCACCAGCCCACTCTGTCTGCGTCCCCATGCAGGCACCGTGAGCCAGTCTGGCTTTGTTGATGCTTGAGTGAACACTAACCTGCGCTCTCATTCAAACATTTTACGATTATTTCATTGTGTTTAGTGCTTGTGGGACTGTGAAATAAGCTACCATGGGCCCAAAGAAACTTGCTAGTGGTACCCCTGTGGTAAAGAAAGTGAGAAATGCCATAGATGTGAAGAAGGAAATAATACAGAAGTATGAGAGTGGTGTGAGACTTGCTGAGCTTGCCAGGGTGTATGGGAAAAATAAGTCGACCATCGGTTCTATCCTGGCAAAGAAAGAACAAATCAAGGAAGCTGATGTTGCAAAAGGTGTTAATTTATTTTTTTATTATCACACTGGCCGATTCCCACCAAGGCAGGGTGGCCCGAAAAAGAAAAACTTTCACCATCATTCACTCCATCACTGTCTTGCCAGAAGGGTGCTTTACACTACAGTTTTTAAACTGCAACATTAACACCCCTCCTTCAGAGTGCAGGCACTGTACTTCCCATCTCCAGGACTCAAGTCCGGTGTTAATATGCTAACCAAAAAAAGACCACAAATAGTTGTAGAGGTTGAGAAGTTGTTGCTGGTGTGGATCAAGGATGAAGAGATGGCAGGTGATAATGTTTCAGAGACGATTATTTGCGAAAAGGCAAGGAAGTTGCATGCCGATCTGGTACAGAAAACTCCTGGAACCAGTTCATTGACAGAACCATGTCCCATTTTAGGGAAATGTTGAAGAGGCACCAGAAACAGAGGACTGTGGACAGTTATTTTGTGAGACAGGGGTCCAGTGACTCTCAAGCTGGTCCTGGTGGCATTAAAAGACAGAGAAGGGAAGTAACCCCAGAGAGGGCTTTGATACCTGAAACCCTCACGGAGGGGGATTCTCCTTCCAAACACTAACCCCAACTCCCTCTCTCCTCCTCCCTATCTTCAAGATGCCATCACCAATCTTCAATAAAGGTAAGTAAAAATGTTATTTTATATGTTTATTTACATTTATTAATACATAATTGAACACTATATTTGTTGTGTGTATGTAAAACTGTAATTAATCTCTATAAAATGTATTTTTTTGTGAATATTTTTGAGTTTCTGGAACGGATTAATTGTATTTCCATTATTTCTTATGGGAAATATTGCTTCGATTTTCAGACTTTTCGAATTTAGAACTAACTCCTGGAACGGATTAAGTTCGATACTTGAGGTTCCACTGTACTGGGAGATCTGGAAATCCCTGTCAGACACAGCAACATCTTGGGATCCTGATACAGAGAATTCTACATTTGCCTAACTTATAGGCATGACCTACTTCCACCTGTAGATTTTTTAATAGTGACACTTTCACTCTAACTCCGACTGCTTTGCTTCCCGATTTCAATATGTGAGCCCCTTCTTCGTGCATATGCTGTACTTTTATCAAGACCGATGGACCAATCACATCAACTTCAGTGGCTGAGGGACTGATTACCTCAAATTCCTTCTGATCTTAATTATTCTTCTCTGTATTAGACTGAGCAAGACACTGGTAGGCAAAATATTTCCACCACAAAAGATACCCAAGTGTTGCACAAGTGTCTCATTCATCAACTTGTTGTCAGTTTTTTTAACCATTTATCCACAACAGCCTAGCTTATCAGCCCTTGATCCTCCAGGAGGCCTTGTGTGGGACTGGGCTATGGAGGACACTGACCCCCAGAAGTATCCTTCAGGTAAGCATTAATATTATGGTAATACTAATTATGATAAAAGCAGAATACCGCATTAGAAAACTATAATAGAATACACTATTATTTCACTGGTACTTTCTAAGAACTACAAGTGTCATTATCACAGCTGAGGAAAATAATAGGGTGGATAATGAGAACCTTCACAACAAGAGATGCCAAGCCAATGATGATCTTCTTTAAGTCACTTTTTTCTATCTAGGCTGGAATACTGTTGTAAACTAACAGTCCCTTTCAAGGCAGGCAAAATTACAGATCTGGAGAAAGTACAGAGTACCTACATTGTACATATAAGTTCAGTAAAGCGCCTCAATTACCAAGAGCATTTGAAGTTCCTTGACCTACACTTCTTAGAGTGCAGGTGAGAAAGGTAAATCATAATTTACATCTGGAAAATCCTAGAGAGATTGGTCCCAAATCTGCACACACAAATCACTCCCCATGAAAGCAAAAAACTTGGCAGGTGATGCAACATCCTCCTAGTGAAAAGCAAGGGTGCTGCAAGTACAGAGAGAGAGAACAATGAGTCAGGGACCCAAGGCTGTTCAGTGGCCTCCTATCATGCATAAGGGGAATTACAAATAGACTCCTGGCTGTCTTCAAGAGGAAACTTGACAGACACCTAAAGTCAGTGCCTGACCAGCCAGGCTCTGGTTCATATGTCAGACTGCATGGCCAGTAGTAACAACCTGGCTGATTGGGCTCTGATTCACCATGAGGCCTGGTCATGGAATGGACCATGGGGGTGTTGAGCCCCAAAACAACCTCCAGGTAGACATGAAAAATAGCAAGGTGAACTAAATTTGGAGGTGGAAAGTACAATGCCTGTACTATGAAAATCAGATGGGGATGTTGCAAGGTGGTGGGTCATCACTGGACCACCATGTTTGTATCCCTATGACAAGGGAGTAAGTCACAGTGAATGTGAATTTTTTTGGTTCACCCTCCCATAACGGGAAGATGGGAAATGACTAATATTCTCATGATCCACTAAATATATATTTCTAAGAGCAAACTTACCTCCAGACACTGATTCTCTCATGGCTGCATTTTGTCGCAAGGCTGTGATTGGTGCTGCTCGGGAACGGGCCAATTCTAGGATACAATCTACCAATGCAAGCACAAAGTTAAGCTTGGCTAACGTTTCATTGTGCTCACGCTGGTGAAAGAAAAACATCGATAAATATCAAATTAAATTATAAGGCAAAGCAAACTGAACTAGGAAATTGTCTTTTATATTACATACAGCATATATAGGTTGGAGGGAGGGGGTAAAAGAGGTTTTGTGGGCAAGGGGCTTGGACTTCCAGCAAATGTGCGTGAGTGTGTTAGATAGGAGCGAATGGAGACGAATGGTTTTTGGGACCTGACAAGCTGTTGGAGCGTGAGCAGGGTAATATTTAGTGAAGGGATTCAGGGAAACCAGTTATTTTTATATAGCTGGACTTGAGTACTGGAAATGGGAAGTACAATGCCTGCACTTTGAAGGAGGGGTTTGGGATACTGGCAGTTTGGAGGGGTATGTTATATATGCTTCTGAACTGTTGTATCTCGGTGTCTCTGCAAAGACAGTGATTATGTGTGAGTGAGGTGAAAGTGTTGAATGATGATGGAAGTACTTTCTTTTCGGGGATTTTCTTTCTTTTTGGGTCACCCTGCCTCGGTGGGAGACCGCCAACTTGTTGAAAAAAAAAAAATATGCAGTAGGGCTCCGCTTTACGGCGTTCTGCTAATACAACGATTTCATATCATGACCAAAATTTGCTATACTGCAAGCGGTCTTTCAAATGCGGTGCACGCCACCTGGTTTGTTTACATTCTCCGTGAGCACATCTATTATGTCTGGAAACTTTCCAAAATTTCAAGTGTTTAAATGTTATTGTATATTTTATATGTACATGTACTCTAATAATTATGCTAATGTGTACCTGTACCTAAATATACTTACAAACTGTGCTGGAGTGAGGGTACACATTAAAATCACTAAGTCTCTCTACTCGTGATGCCACAGTAATACTACGGAATAATAATCTCTCTTGGGCACACAAAATGTCTTATTTTATGTTAATATAGACATTTTCATTAATTCATCTATGACATTTTCTTCAAAATTATATAAGAAACACATTACATAGCATATAAACATTATACACACACCCACAGAATAAAAGTTTACATAAATATAAGATTTGTTTACAAAGCGGCTTTGTAGACAGAGTGTCAGAAGAATTACATTTACTCTAGTCAAACACTGGGGGATAACTGTAAATAAATATACCTTTCATATGCCTTCACTCTATATATAGCAATTCATGATCCTTGTGGGTTTAGTGCTTTATTTTTTATTATGATTATAATAATAATAATAATAATAATAATAATAATAATAGTGGATGAGTTTGAGAATGTGTGTAAAGGTAGAAAGTTGAAAGTCAATATAGAAAAGAGTAAGGTGATGAGGGTATCAAATGATTTAGATAAAGAAAAATTGGATATCAAATTGGGGAGGAGGAGTATGGAAGAAGTGAATGTTTTCAGATACTTGGGAGTTGACGTGTCGGCGGATGGATTTATGAAGGATGAGGTTAATCATAGAATTGATGAGGGAAAAAAGGTGAGTGGTGCGTTGAGGTATATGTGGAGTCAAAAAACGTTATCTATGGAGGCAAAAAAGGGAATGTATGAAAGTATAGTAGTACCAACACTCTTATATGGATGTGAAGCTTGGGTGGTAAATGCAGCAGCGAGGAGACGGTTGGAGGCAGTGGAGATGTCCTGTCTAAAGGCAATGTGTGGTGTAAATATTATGCAGAAAATTCGGAGTGTGGAAATTAGGAGAAGGTGTGGAGTTAATAAAAGCATTAGTCAGAGGGCAGAAGAGGGGTTGTTGAGGTGGTTTGGTCATTTAGAGAGAATGGATCAAACTAGAATGACATGGAAAGCATATAAATCTATAGGGGAAGGAAAGAGGGGTAGGGGTCGTCCTCGAAAGGGTTGGAAAGAGGGGGTAAAGGAGGTTTTGTGGGTTAGGGGCTTGGACTTCCAGCAAGCATGCATGAGCGTGTTAGATAGGAGTGAATGGAGACGAATGATACTTGGGACCTGACGATCTGTTGGAGTGTGAGCAGGGTAATATTTAGTGAAGGGATTCAGGGAAACCGGTTATTTTCATATAGTCGGACTTGAGTCCTGGAAATGGGAAGTACAATGCCTGCACTTTAAAGGAGGGGTTTGGGATATTGGCAGTTTGGAGGGATATGTTGTGTATCTCTATACGTATATGCTTCTAAACTGTTGTATTCTGAGCACCTCTGCAAAAGCAGTGATAATGTGTGAGTGTGGTGAAAGTGTTGAATGATGATGAAAGTATTTTCTTTTTGGGGATTTTCTTTCTTTTTTTTGGGTCACCCTGCCTCGGTGGGAGACGGCCGACTTGTTGAAAAAAAAAAAAAAAAAAATAATAATAACTTGTAATAATAACAACTTGTAATAATAATCTGTAATAATAATAATTTATAATAATAATAATAATTTGTCAGATCATCATTCCTTCTAAAAATTACATGAGAATGGAAGTGTTGGGCTTTATTTATTCTACTGTACCACTGTGGAGACAACTTGTACACAATGTAAGGTGTTTGTATGAATGTTTATGAACCATAACCAGACACATCGTTTGTTTGTTTACATAGTGGGTGGGGTGGCCAGGCTGGCTTCCCTACACTACCCTACCTACCACACGACTTTCTACAAATCCGCAAATACTTTTCACCTTTCACCCTACGTTGAGACTACAAATATTTTAAGGTAAGTAATGAGTGTACTGTATTTGCATTTTATCACTCTATGGAGCTTTAAGCATCGTCATAGTATATGCTGTGTGGGTGGAGTGGCCAGGAAGACTACCACACACAGTATTTGTAACTGCACCAAAACTTTTGACCAACTGATGTTATCGCCACTTGTCATACCTGTGTATGAACCACTGTATGGAATGTGCTTCCAGGTATCATTTCTAGCTTACATTGAAGGCATGCTTTCCAATATCCTCCAAGGCTCATTTGGATTTGTAATTTCCTACATTGCTCTTACAGCATCCCTGACATAGAAAGTATCCTTGTAAGTCCTATCTGTGCTTCATGATATTCTGCATGTTATTTTCATAATCCTCATTCTTCGCTTTTCTAGTGACATTAATTCATCAATTTAAACACCATTCTTGATGACCTTTGCACACTCAAAATTGGTTTTGTATTGCATTAGGTGAAGGCTCCACACTGGTGCTGCATACTTGAGAACAAGTCACATTTATAAGGTAAAGTGTGTTACATAAGTCTTTGGTTGGGATTCTGAATGGCACTCTTGTGTTCTCATGTTCTCTCACCTGCATACTCCAACCTGAGCCTCGCTATCCTCGTAAAGACTCTTCACTGCTTTCAATAACCTACCTCCTATTCCATACATTTGCAACATTTGCTACATTGATCCCCTATTCACCCTATCATACGCCTTTTCCAAATCCATAAATGCCACAAAAACCTCTTTACCCTTATCTAAATACTGTTCACCTATATGTTTCACTGCAAACACTTGGTCTACACACCCTCTATCCTTCCAAAAGCCTCCTTGTTCATCTGCTATCCTGCTCTCTCTCTTACTCTTCATTCTTTCAATAATAACCATAAACTTTACCAGGTATACTCAACAGACTTATTCCCTTATAATTTTTACACTCACTTTTGTACCCTCTGCCTTTATACAAGGGAACTATGCATGCTCTCTGCCAATCTCTAAGTACTTTACCCTCTTCCATGCATTTATTAAATAAAAGCACTAACCACTCCAAAACTATATCTTCACCTGCTTTTAACATTTCTATCTATCTCATCAATCCCAGCTGCTTTACCTGCTTTCATTCTACCCACTGCCCCATGCACTTTCCCCACACTTACAACTGGTTCTTCTTCACTCCTATAAGATGTTATTCCTCCTTGCCCCATACACAAAATCACAGCTTCCTTATTTTCATTAACATTTAACAATACCTCAAAATATTCCCTCTATCTTCCCGATACCCCTAACTCTCCCTTTAATAACTCTTCTCTCCTATTTTTAACTAACAAATTCATTTGTTCCCTAGGCTTTCTCAACTTATTAATCTCACTCCAAAACTTTTTCTTATTTTCAACAAAATTTGTTGATAACATCTCACCCACTCTCATTTGCTCTCTTTTTACATTGCTTCACCACTCTCTTAACCTCTCTTTTTCTTTACACATACTCCTCCCTCCTTGCATCACTTCTACGTTATAAAAAACTCTCATATGCTAACTTTTTCTCTCTTACTATTTTACATCATCATTCCACCAATCGCTCTTCTTCCCTCCCGCACCCACTTTCCTTTAACCACAAACTTCTGCTGAACACTCGAACACTATATTCTTAAACTTACTACTCCATACATTTTCTACCCCATTGCCTATACTCACACTAGCCCATCTGTCCTCCAACAGTTGTTTATATCTTACCCTAACTACCTCCTCCTTTAGTTTATAAACCTTCACCTCTCTCTTACCTGCTCCTTCCATTTTCCTTGTTTCCCATCTATCTTTTACTCTCACTGTATCTACAACTAAAAAGTGATCTAATATATCTGTGGCCCCTCTAAAAACATGTACATCTTGAAGTCTACCCGACAGTCTTTTATCTACCAGGATGATAATATCAAAAGATATTCTATATAGCCATTTAAAATATTTGTGATTTTGTCTACCAGCACGATTTTCTACTAGCACAATAATATCCAAAGATACTCTATATAGCCATTTAAAATATTTGTGATTTTATTTGTTTTGTATTTATAATTACCTCCATTAATGTTTCTTGATGAAGAGGGGGTGCATAGAAAGCTACAGTATCTTGCCCATCTGTCTGAGCAAATGGAGTGCCTTGCAAAAGGAATGCTGGTGCAGACTGACCATACTGTACAATTTGTCTCCCAGGGTTAGGAGGACTTGCAGCACGAGCTTGCCATTCTAAGAGATGAGACTCTGTTCGTGATCGCTGAAGTCCACTACTATCCACACTCATATCCTGAGTTCCACCTGTGTTGAGAATTATAAGGTTAGCAACGGCATTATTTACAAAAAAAAAAAAAAAGATGAATAAGCAATGATGCCTACAGTAAAAATGATAATTATATAAAATTTAGAATACAACTTATTCAACACACTTTTACACTAAACAACAGAATTTCACGCTTATACACTAACAACAACAGACAAAACAAAGTGAAGCAATCGACTTCTACAGAAGCAAATTCTTACTGACCCATAAATAGGTCACGTGAGACAGAGGTCATCTCAGGAAGTGTAATAGCACGATGTGGGGCTGTATGAGGCAGGTTGGTGGTATTGCCACAGATGTCACCAGCAGCATTATCCTGGCCAAGCCCTAATTTTGTGGGAGATCCCAGGATGGGGGGCAGCACAGGGGGGGCTGAGAATAGCTGGGGAGGTGTGTAGGGAGGTGTACGACGGCCAGACTGACGTAAAGGTGAGTTGGTGGGAGTGAGGCGACCTGCTGGGATCACTTGGGTGTTACCTGTAGCACAGCAAAGCCTTTGTTACAATACCATATTGATACATACCCTAATACAATAGAATAACGCAACATTACAGTGGAGCCCCAGATATAGGCCAGTGCAGAAATCAGCCGATTCAGAAATCGAGCACTTTTTTCAGTGAAATCCCCCCCCCCATATAGGCCATCCGCTTGGAAATTGCTGGTGTGAGACGCGTCCACCCGCCAGCGACGTGCTCCTCACACGTATCACACTAAGTCTGCGTGTCTCTCTCGTTGGGGTAGGAACACTCCACGCATTTATCCATTGTTTTTGGTGCTTGTTTATTGATTGCAACTGTGAAATAAGCCACCATGGGGCCAAAGAAAGTTCAGAGTGCCAGCCCTTTGGTAAAGAAGGTGAGAAACACGATAGAATTCAAGAAAGAAGTTGTAATAAAGTTGGTAGAATTACCGACAATATGTAAAGTAAAAGGACACAAGTGCAACTAATGTGACATTTTATTGTGGCAACGTTTCGCTCCTGGAGAGCGAAACGTTGCCACAATAAAATGTCACATTAGTAAGAAAGAAGTTATCGCAAAATATGAAAGTGGTGTACATGTGGCAGAGCTGGCCAAGATCTATGGGAAATCCACATCAACAATCAGTTCCATTATGTTGAAGAAAGTGGGAGATAGTGTTTCAGAGGGGATAATTTGCAAGAAGGCAAGGCAGCTGCATGCGGATCTCAAAGAAAATGCCAGGAACGAGTGCTGCTGTTAATTAATTTAAGGCCAGCAAAGTTTGGTTTGACAGATTCAAGAAGCGTAGTGGCATACACAGTGTTGTAAGGCACGGTGAGGCTGCAAGTTCAGACAAACGTGCAGCTGAAGAATTCGTGCATGAATTCAAGGATTACGTAAAGGCTGAAGGATTCCTCCCCCAACAAGTATTCAATTGTGATAAAACAGGACTCTTTTGAAAGAAAATGCCAGAGAGGATCTACATCACGCAGGAGAAAAAGGCACTGCCAGGACACAAGCCTATGAAGGATAGGCCAACTCTCTTGTTCTGTGGTAACTCTAGTGGGGATTTCAAAGTGAAGCCTTTACTCGTGTATCACTCTAAATATCCCAGAGCGTTCAAGAAAAACAATGTCATGAAGAGTAAATTGTGTGTGATGTGGAGTGCTAACAATAAGGCACAGGTCACGAGGCTAATTTTCATTGAGTGGGTCAATGAAGTGTTTGGCCCGAGTGTGAAGAAATACCTCCTGGAAAATAAATTGCCACCTAAGTGCCTCCTGGACAATGCTCCTGCTTATCCTCCAGACTTGGAAGACCTATTGTTTGAGGAGTGTAAGTTCATCACAGTGAAGTTCTTGCCCCCTAATACCACTCCTCTCATCCAGCAGATCATTTCAAACTTCAAAACACTGTACACCAAAGCAATGTTTCAAAGGTGCTTTGAAGTGACCTCAGACACTGAACTGACCCTAAGAGTTCTGAAGGAATCACTTCAATATCCTCCACTGCATAAGCCTTACAGATAAGACTTGGCAGGGAGTGACTTCCAGGACTTTGAACTCTGCTTGGAGACAATTGTGGCCAGAATGTGTCCTCGACAAGGATATTGAAGGGTTTGAGGCTGACCCTGACAACCCTATGCCTATTTTGGAATCTATTGTTTCACTGGGGAAGTCCATGGGGTTGGATGCGAGTGGCCAGGATGTGGAAGAGTGCCTTCTTCAGTGATTAAGGAGATGTGTAAAGTAGAGTGAGGTGCAAAGTTTTGCAGAGAATTATCACCCTGGCAAAACTGTTGCAAGCTGTGTTTGCAACATGTTCAATGATAATGTCTTGTCCCATTTTAGGTAAATTTTACAGACACCAGAAACAGGCCTCTCTGGACAGATTTTTGGTGTGACAGGGGTACAGTGACTCAAGCTGGTCCTAGAGCCAGTAAAAAACAAAGAATGGAAGTAACCCCAGAGAGGGATTTGATATCTGAAGTTCTTATGGAGGGGGATTCCCCTTCCAAACAATAACCCCAACTCCCTCTCCTCTCCTCGTCTTCTTCCATATGCCAACAAGTGTGTTCAATAAAGGTATGTAATGTTCACTTATTATTAAAATTACTGCTTCATATTTCTTTCTCATTGTTTTCTGTATGTAAAACTATAGGTATTCTTTAAAAAATGTATTTTTTTTTGTTAATATTTTTGGGATATTGGCAGTTTGGAGGGATATGTTGTGTATCTTTATACGTATATGCTTCTAAACTGTTGTATTCTGGGCACCTCTGCAAAAGCAGTGATAATGTGTGAGTGTGGTGAAAGTGTTGAATGATGATGAAAGTATTTTCTTTTTGGGGATTTTCTTTCTTTTTTGGGTCACCCTGCCTCAGTGGGAGACGGCCGACTTGTTGAAAAAAACAAAAACAAAAAAAAAAAAATTTTGGGTGTCTGGAACAGATTAATTGGATTTACATTATTTCTTATGGGAAATATTACTTCGGTTTTCTGCCATTTCGGATTTAGGCCAACCTTCTGGAATGGATTATGGCTGATAACTGGGGGTCCACTGTACAAGCACAAAATACAAAAGCACGCAAAATTAAGCTTTTATTCTCTATATGAAAACAATGTTGAAGTAGAAAAATGAGACACTTGTGCAACATTTGAGAATCTCCAATGCGGAAACGTTTCGTCAGCCAGTGGCTTCCTCAGTCTACTACAGAGAAGAATGGTGGAAGATGAGTAGTTGAAGTAATCAGTCCCTGGAGTCGATGTGTTCAGTCCATTAATCATCTTCACCGTTTTTCTCTGTATTGGACTGAAATAGCCACTGGCTGGTGAAACATTTCTTCAGTTAAGATTTTCAAATATTGCACAAGTGTTTCATTCTTCAACTTTTCGGTTTTCTAAACCATTTACATCACAATGTTTAAGTAACATACAAATAATAAGTGCATTCAAAATTTAATTGTTAAGTACAACACATTTCCCTCACTCTCCTAATAATCTCAAGCCCAAACAAAAAATAATTACCCTAACTTTCTAATATATGAACATGAGAAAAATAACAAACACACCACAGTGTACAGGTACAGTATAACACATTAACAAAATGTAGAAGGCTAAAGATGTGGTTTGTTGATTCCAGCAACAGCAGTACTCAACCCACAATTTCAATATGATCATTAAGTATAATACAGTGGTACCTTGACTTACGAGTGTCCCGACTTACGAGTTTTCCCGAGTTACGAGCCGTTGCTCGGATGATTTTTTGCTTTGAGCGAAAAAAAAATATTAACTGAAAATGTCAGTTGGCAAGAACCCCAGCCTAAATGGCACAACGAAAGGTGGTTTTGGGATTTGGTACTTATAAAACAATGCTAGTGCGATGTTCTCACTGGAGGTAATCGTGTAATTATCTTAAGTTATTCTACAAAAAAATAAAGTTGCTAAGTTTTTGACATTTGCAAAATATCTTGCCCTTTACACCCACACAAACCCCAAAATATTTGGAATATTTTCAATATTCCAGAAGCCAACTGTATAACAATCATTTTTTTATGATTCCTGTCAATATTACTGCATTCATTTCAATAATAAATGGCAAGCTTCATGAAATAAGTCAATAACTTACTTCTGAGATATTCAGACACTATTGCCTCTCTGATTGTTAGTGATCTGAGTGACACTATTACCTCTCTGATTGTTAGTGATCTGAGTGACACTAATGCCTCACTGCACTAGTGATCTAGTGCAGTTAGCCTCTCAAAAACTCTGTTTTCTCTTACTCAGAACCAAAGAACACGTTATAGGAAGGAGCAGTAATGATTTTATATGCTCGGACTGGTCCTGGACACTTACCATATTATGGCCTAATTTATTCATTCTAGAGTATATATCATGTTTCTATGTTGCTTACAGTATTTATTATGTCATATTAGATCAATTCTGATAGATAAGTAAGCTGTAGAATTGATATTAGCATTATAATGAAATGGTTTTTTTGGGGGGCTGGAACGAATTAATGGCATTTCAATTAATTTCAATGAGGAAAATTGATTTGACATACAAGCAAATTTTAGTTATGAGCTCAGTCACTGAACGAATTAAACTCTTAAGTCAAAGTACCACTGTACTACAATGATGTAACATTGAAATTTTAAATTTATAATTTTTCCTCTTATTTTCAAATAAAAGTTTTAAAAGTGCATTACTTTTAAATTCTGTTTCATAATGATTGTATAATGATACCTAATCCTGTACATATACGTGTTATTAAGTCAAGAGCATAATACAGTAGAAACCCCATATCCGTGGTTTCAGTTATTCCCGGTTTACTGTGGCCTGAAAATAACTCTTAATTTTTTATTAATAATGGCTCCAAAGAACAGAAGTATTGATGCTGGCAGTTCTTCCAAGCCTAAGAGAAGCCCTGAAATGCTTCCCATCAGTGAAAAAGTGCTAATTCTAGATTTATTTTGCATAACATATTAATAACTTTATCATAGGTATACGTATATGTAAACATGGGAGCAAGGGGCTAGTAACCCCTTCTGTATAAATTACTAAATTTAAAAAGAGAAACTTTCGTTTTTCTATTAGGGCTACTCTGCCTCAGTAGGATACAGCCGGTTTGTTAAAAGACGATGTATGTAAACAAAAAATGACATATATATAGGGTTTACTACTATCCACAGTTTCAGGTATCCCCTGCGGATACAGGGATACTACAGGTACTCCTCACTTAATGACTGAGTTCCATTCCTAAGAGTAGGTCGGTAAGTGAACCGGTAGTTAAGCAAGGAGCATACTGTTCTGGTAGTGGGTTTGTCAATCATCTTAAGATATTGTTTTTTAATGTCACCTTTGCACCACCTGCCTCGGTGGGAGACTGCCGACTTGTTGAAAAAAAAAATAATTTTAAATGTTTTTAGAGTAGCATACTGTACACTGTAATAAACAGAATAGAGGAAATCAGCTCTAAAATGCATTACTTAGGTTTCTATACTGGTCAGAGAGCTGGACATAAGTCCTAGCGGTCGTTAAACAGGTATGTCGTTAAGTGAGGAGTACCTGTACTGTATTTTTATTTATATATTTCATAACTATATATTTCTTTCCTTTTGGATCACCCTGCATCGGTGGGAAATGGCTGAAGTGTTAAAAAAAAAATTAATACACAACTCATATTTCGTAATGTCAAGAATTCAAAACTGTGGAATCACCAAAATGATGATATTTATAAAGAATATGAATTTTTTTATTTATAAAGAATTCAAAGTTTTTTTATTTATAAAGAGTTTGAAGTTTTTTGTTGGGTCTTCCAATTACTGGCAGTTTTAAAATAAATGCACTTCTATAGTACTGCTTACTGTTAAAATAAGAGTACAGGAGGGCCCAGCTTTACAGCGCTGTGCTTTATGGTATATTGTTAATGCAGCAGTTTTCAATTATACCCATTCTTCATTTATTCAGACTTCCTACAATAAATATATTCATCACTCATTATAAGCTAAGGATAAAAATATTAAGGTAGGTAACGTGTGTACTGTATATGCATGTTTTATGCCTAGCTCTACTGTTCACTTAATACATGATAGTGTAAACATGCTATCTAGCTGTTACATGTACGTATATGCATTTTAAAGGAAAAAAGGCTATGATTTACTTTACAACGATTTTTGCTTTACAGTAGCAGCCCAGAACCTAACCTGCTGTAAAAGCAGGGTCCTCATGTACAATACCTCCACTGAAATTGAGAGTTATTGGCATGATGTCCAACTGTGTTTAAAGTTCGGTTTGTTTGATTTCTCATTTACTGAGAATACTAGGTCTGGGATCAGGGTCTGGAACCTAACCCCCTATTTACTGTAATTAACCAGCTCACTCTGAAACACATCACTCTTAATGAGATCTTTTTCCATTAACATGTCCCTTGTTTACAATGAAAGAATGCTGTATTTAGCACAGTTTCCATGTGTGACAAACCAAGAAATTTCTAATGTAATGATGAACTTAACCTGTTTCAAACAGCATTGATGCCATTAAGGTCACTGATACCATTCAGGAGTATTATGACAAATGGATGATATTACTTAGGGCATTACAAATGACAAGAGATGCCATTCAGGAGTATTAAGGCCAATGAGAAATGCCATGGAGAAACATTAAGGTCAATGGGTGATAAGAAGGACATTAAGGCTAATGAAACATGAGTGACCCTGTTGCTGGTAAGTACTGTGTAAGTCCAAAGAAACTTAGCAACCCTTTTAAATATGTGTAATGGTGGATTTCATGCAAATAATTACATAAGTGGAGAACACTGTACAGTATTAAGCAACACCCCTGTGAAAGCAGGCAACTGAGACTACAATTACCACACAAGTTAAGCTAATAAGTCACTGCAGTAAGTTATTACCTGTAACCCCAACAGTGGTTGGTGGTGTGGTCGAATACGAACTCCCAGATGTTGACCTTCGCCTCCCTCCCATGGGGGGATCACCAATGGTGAACTGAACCTGCAATTACAATGTCAAGTCAAAACTCTAAAGTTAACAACAAAATTGAGGACTTAATTGTGAAAAGGGAGAAATACAGTTTTTACAATGGTACTTAGTATGTACATAAACACTATATGAGTGCTCCTCAACTGACAATGGGGTTATGTTCTGATGAACCCATTGCAAATAGAAAATATCTTAGGTAGAATATATGCTAAACAAGTAAATAAATAAATAAATAACTACTGTTACTGAATGAGTAAAAAATAAAAAGTTACAGACTTGTTGCTTTTATGCTGGGTAATCACCTTAAGTTTTATCTCCAAAGTAATTGCTTTTCCACCATCGTAAAGTCAAAATATCTTAAGTTGAACCACCGTAAGTCAAAGAGCACCTGTACTAAAACTTACAGCAGGAGGTGACAAAGAAGCAACATCAGGAGCTTTGTGATCAGACACTCTACGCATATTAATTGGTTGTGAACGAGGTGGAGGTGATGGCCGATTGCAAGACATTCCCTGATGTCTAGGAGACTCAGGTTGTAGAGTAGTTGATATCTGATCTGAGGAACCAGAGGAGGTCATCTGATGAAATGTTGCTCGTTGGGATGGGACAGGGACAGGTTCTCCGGATCGACATGACTCGCTACTACTACTTGAATGTGTGCTGCCACTGCTACCACCTATGCAATGAAATACTGAGCATTAATGAATTTATATGCACTAAATAGTGAACAGTAATAATATATGGAATTAGTGATACCATCTGGTATTCATTTCTGACGTGTTTAGTAAATTGTTGGCAAGTCTCCGGATTGGCCTGCTTCCTATATCACTATATTTTTAATAACTTCCTATATTGCTATATTTTTAATAACTTTTCAGCACCTTTCATTAAACCATTCTTTAATACTTCTTCTTATACTTTTTTTTTTGGAAATAACTGTTTAACCCCAATTTTATAACTGCTACAGAACTCTTTATATAAATTACTTATATCTGTCTCTTGCAATACATCAAATTTAAAATACTCCATTAAATCTTTAAATTTTTATTTCACATAATCTGGTTATTCCTGATTGTGTTCTTTCTCTTTTCCTAAGTTATATTTCACAGCATATGTTATCTCTGAGAAAACATCACACATCCCATTTAAATAGCTCATGTAGAAGTTTCTTCCTCTGTTCTCCTGAATACAAGGTCAGGTGTTGATACTGTCTTATCTCACTCATGCCACTTAATTTATAAGCTAACTGTTCAAAAACATACATTCAGAAATTCTGCTGACCATACAGTTAAGTTTAGCCTCATAAGTTGACAAAGTTCTTTATACTGTAGTTTAAATATCCTATTATATTATCTTTTTTATTATACGAGTCACTTGTCTGGAACAGTTCCCTTATTGTAGATGAATGGTTCAAAGAACCGACATGTTGCTAAATTAGACACATGTGCAACTCTTAGGTATCTTTATTGAGGAAACGTTTCGCCACCCAGTGGCTTCATTAGTCCATACAAAGAATAAACTTGAAGAACAGGAAGAGAATGAGGTAATCAGTCCCTCAGCCTTGAGTTGATGTGTTCAAGTTTATTCTTTGTATGGACTGATGAAGCCACTGTGTGGCAAAACATTTCCTCAATAAAGATACCTAGGAGTTGCACATGTGTCTAATTTAACAACAGTTCCCTTATTATTTAATACTTCATTTACCTTACCTAATTCTTCTCTCTCCCAAGTCTTAGTAAATGTTTATATTTACCTGTGACTGACCTGTGACTTCTTTTGAGAGTTTTTATACTCTTGCGCCCAATATAAAGTTAACAAGTTGGCCTAAGAACTGGAACTCAATTGCTACACACTCAAACAAGTAATTAGGCACAAAGCACTCAAAACATTTCTTCCAAAATACTGTAGTAGACTATTGTATTGAGATCCAAGAAGGAGATAGGTGCTACAACCATCATCATCTTTACAAATGTACAACACGATGAACACTGAAGATTAAAGAGAACAAATGTAGCCCTGCTCTCATAACTACAAATAATCACAAACTATACCTATTTACGACTGAATATACTACGATTTTCTAGTTATTTAGATATATCACCAAATAACAATACTAGATGGCCCAGTCAAGTAAGAAAAAGATACAGAAAAACAAGGAATCTGAGAGCATCTTTAAAAAAATTTCCAGGAGAGTGTTGAGAGGAACTATCATCATAGAGGAGCAATAAAGTGTAACTTTCAAAACAGGTATAATTCAGTAGATAAAGGTATACAACATTAACCTTGGACTGGAAGATGAGAGGGCCTGGGTGAGGTGGGGACTTGGGGTGTGAGGGGACCATATTGTGCAGGATTTTTCTGGTAGGCCATCCCTCCTCCTGGCTTTGCTAATACACGTCCACCCCATCTAGAATCATCAGAAAAAAAAAATAGTTAAAAATTGAGTATTTATACTTACTGTATTCATGATTCAGTATCGTACATCTGTCTCTCCTTTGCAACTATCTGCAAAGTTAACACTATCTGACAAGGTAATGTCACATGAAAACTTCTTGGATTTTAAAATCTTGAATGATAAGATGCTAATCAATGGCACTGCTGGAACAACAACTAAGAATGAGTGATGGTGACTGCTTTGTTCTATGGGACACCATACCTTGATGAGAAACAGCCATTACAATAAAAAAAATTACCATACTGTATCAACAAATTTAACTGTTCAGATAAAGAAAATTCAGAAAAAAAAAAAAAAGTTCCTCCCTGCACTGTAAAGTACAATATATCTTGTTTCATGTGTGATTTTTTTTGTAAGGAGGTACAATATGTCTTCTGGAATGGATTAATATCTAACTCAAGGGACCACTGTACAGTAAGCCCTCACTTAACGTCATCGATATTGTGACTTTAAGCAAAACAATTATCGTATACTTGACAAATTTTTATTTGACAATGATTTGAATTCGTTAAATTTTTTATCATCAAAGTTATAACGAAACTGTTATTCAAGAACCTGCTGTATTCCTAAATTAAAATAAAATAAAATAAAAATATTTCTTATGAGACATTCAAATGTAAGATATAAATATAAAAATTACCCTTGTGGAACTCTGGATGCCTCAGGCTCATTAGGAAGTTGGGCTGGCACCATAACAAAGTCTTCTGCTTCTTCTTGCACTTGAGGATTAGAAGTTCTTGGCACTGGTGTAGGTTTTGATATATTTGTAATACCTACAGCAGGGGACGCTGAAGGCAGCTCACTGCCACTCCGTTGGTCAATGCTCATTCGGAGCTCCTCTGGTGATGGTGGAAGATTACCTATTTTTGAAAATCAATGTTATATTAATGAATACATAATCTTATACGATGGTACACAAGCAACAAATTCAATAGCATTACCTTATTAATACAGCTTCTCCTCACTGAACGACAGAGTCCTGTTCTTGAGACCACATCGGTTAACAAATTTATCGCTAAGTGAGGAGCATACTATAATGGTAGTGGGTTTATGTCAACCACCTTTAATATTGTTTTAATGTCACTTTCGCACCATTTATATTTCTGGTATTTTTTAATGTTTATACAGTATTGTACTGTATATTGTAATACGTACACAGAATAGAGGAAATCGGCTCTAATATACATTATTTAGGTATGCATATTGGCCAGAGAGCCTGCCGTAAGTCTGAGTTGTCAGTAAACGAGTATGTCATTAAGTAAGGAGAGGCTGTACTGTAAACGGATTAAAAAAAATCCAAAACATTTCAAAATTTCCAATACCTAACAGCCTAAAGCTTCATATAGCAAATTTTAATAAAGACTATATGAGATATTTGAGAGATATGCTATAATAAAAATAAATGAGACATATATTGTTATAAACTTAGTGCAATTAATAAAATCAAGTAATACAGTATTATTCTTCATGGGAAAGTGGAACAGAATTCTTCCTCTGTAAGTCATGCGTGTCGTAAGAGGTGACTAAAATACTGGGAGCGAGGGTCTAGTAACCCCTTCTCCTGTATGCATTACTAAATTTAAAATGAGAAACTTTCATTTTTCTTTTTAGGTCACCCTAGCTTGGTGGGATATGGCCATTTTGTTGAAAAAAAAACAGACTATTATGAATACTAGGACCCAATCATCCAGTATGAATGATAACATTTCCCACTTTGTATAGTTCAAGCAAAATACTGGAGAGTACCACAAGTATCAAAGACTACAGTTAACTTACCGATGGGAGGGCTTGGAGCTGGCTGTGTGTGTTGTGTGTATGTTGCACCACGATTAACAGGCTTAGGTGTAGCTGCAGATGTAGGTGAAGGTGTAGGCATAGGTACTGTAGAAGAACCACTACTCAAGACTGGCTTCTGAGCACAAGAATCTCCCATCCGAGTAAATGGATGATTGAAAAATGTTTCAAAGTCCATTCGATCTTTTGCATTTCTCTTCAAAAGACCCATGAGGAGATCTACTAGCTCAGAAGATGTCCCTGGAGGTATTCTGGTAAAAATTTAAATAATTTAAATATTGTATATACAGTACTTTAAAACAGTAATTAAAGCAGCCTGGGCCAAGAGGTTTTTCAGTAATTAAAGCAGCCTGGGCCAAGAGGTTTTTCAGTAATTAAAGCAGCCTGGGCCAAGAGGTTTTCACAGATAATGTATGTAGAACATACAAATTTTCTAAAGCTTCAAATTGTATAATTTAAATTTATCTATATATATCATGAATCCATTTTTAAGAACTTTATTTCTCACCTAACTGTAATACTGACATTTTACTTGACTATATGAGCCATATACAGTGCAAATCTCATCATAAACTGAACTCACCTTGGGGCTAAATTAGCATTTTTTTCATAGAACTGCTTAAGAGCCTGTGGAGTTTGTGCCTGGAATGGTGCCTTGCCAGCAAGACACTGGAACACAATGGTACCCAATGACCAGAGATCAGCCTTAGCATCGTATTGTATAGACATGATAACCTCTGGAGCCATATACATAGGAGATCCACATAATGTGGCTGCCATTACTCCATCTTGGAGAAATCTTGCAAAGCCGAAGTCAGCTGGTGGGGAAAAAATAGAGCTTTAGGTTTCTCTATACTGCTATCAACCAGTTCTTTCAGTTTCACAACTGAGTGATGAGCCCATCTTGCAGGATGGGCTAGGATCGGAGAGTGTTTTTCCAACCTCTCTGTTGCAAGTCTTGCAACATTGCATAGCTCCTGATGAAGCAGAAAAGTGTGAAAGGCCTTGAGCTACAGGTAAAATTGGTCAATTACCAAGAACTCATTTAAAATTAAATCCTTCCTAAAAATTTCTCTCATACTTTTAAAGATATATATTTTATCATTTATGTTAATGTAAAAATTAATAATTTTGTACCAAAAAAAATTAGAAAACTTAATTTAATTAATTTAACTTAATCCAACTAAATATATTTTAGATAAGTTTACAATAATTTAATATTAAACAAACACAATGAAATATATATTTTTTTCATTAGGCTCACACGATTTTTGCGAAATTAATGAATACATAAATTTAGGGACTCGGGTGGCCTGGTGGCTAACGTTCTCGCTTCACACGGCCAGGGCCTGGGTTCGATTCCCAGCCAGAGTAGAAACATTGGGCGTGTTTCTTGACACCTGTTGTCTGTTCTCCATCAGTAAAATGGGTACCTGGGTGTTAGTCGACTGGTGTGGGTCGCATCCTGGGACACTGACCTAATTTGCCTGAAATGCTGAGCATGACAAGGGGCTTTGCTTTCTATATAGTAGTATGTCATCGATGTCAGCTAGGCTTGTATACCATGTACATGTACTTCTAGTAAATAAAATTATTATTAGTAGTAGTATTATTTTAGCTTGCCTTATTCGGCAAGAAGAGCGTTGCTATTTAAGCCAAAATCGCAAGTTTTACCTATTCGGCACGACATATATAACCGAGCGCTAAAACAGCCGCATGATGGGGAAGTTGAATGACATTCCATAAACCGCATACCGTGTTTTATTTGCATACCTGTCAGTATATTTTACCACTGATATATGTGGAGTATCATTATTAAGTCACGTCTGAGAAGGAACATGGGCATATGATTGAGGTGCATAAATGAAAGACAGGAATAAATAAAGGGGATGTAAACAGCGTGCTAAAAATACTATCTAGCCTAGACAGGACTCGCAGCAATGGTGTTAAGTTGAAAAATTCGGATTCAGGAAGGATATAGGAAAGCACTGGTTTGGTAATAGAAATGTGGATGAGTGGAACAAGCTCCCAAGTACAGTTATAGAGGCTAAAACGTTGTGTAGTTTTAAAAATAGATTAGATAAATGCATGAGTGGGTGCGAGTTGGACCTGACTAGCTTGTGCTGCTAGGTCAGATGCCGTGCTCCTTCCTTAAGTGAATGTGACCTGACCTGGCTTAAGCCAGTAGGAGATTTGGACCTGCGTCGCATGGGCCAGTAGGCCTGCTGCAGTGCTCCTTCTTTATGTTCTTATGGTACTGGAGCCTCTTTGTTTGCATTCTGCCACGTGTTGCATGACCAAAATAAATGTGCACTTGCGTCATGCGCCTGACTTATTGTAGACGTAAGATGCGTCAATAGCAATGGAGGAGCAAGGTTATTTTAGGCTGGGGTAGGTGAGTTTCCTTAGATTATGTTACATGAATGAGGAAAGGTGTTATAAATGGATGACAAATTAGCCTGACGAATATCCATAACCGTCCTATATGTGGAAGGCTCGTGAAATTCATGGAAATGGATAAAATAACAGAGACAATGGGCATCGTGTCTATTGCATAAGAAATTATTTCTACTGTAAAACAGACTTAATACTGTACAACTCAAACTACAGTATATTAATGGGCGAAATCCACCGAGTAGCAGTGGTCTGCTTTAACAAAAATTTAATTTAAAATACACACAAGCAGAGACAATGAGACAGACAAAATAGTAGTTTGAGAGAGTAGCATATATGCCGGTTTATGATGTACAACTGGGTTTTATATAAGGGGATCCAGAAACAAGTTTTATATACACTATTGTTTTTTTTTTTGAGGGTTACCCTAGGTAATTTGCATATATGCTAATATGCAAAATAACCACTGTGAAAAAATAGTGAACTGTGAGAAATCACGAGTGTTGGAAGTTCATTATTTTTTCACACTGGTTATTTTGCATAATGTGATATCACCTGTACGCTGTGATCTCATTGCACATGTTAATATGTAAGATAATTGTACTTATGTGTGCCTAAATAAACTTACGAGTTAATATCAAGCATTTCCCAGCTCGACGTACACAGCGTCTTAACCGTGTGTATTCTGAAGCACTTATTTCTTTGTATATAATCAAGTTTTCAGTCGTACTAGCGAGTGATTCCCAGGAGATAACCCACAACACGCCCTCTCGTTCTCGTGTCTGAGATGAGACTGCTGCTGCTGCTGCTGCATCAGGTCTCCACTGCGTCTTAATTTTTACCTCGCCCTAGTTGCCAGAACTCAGGACTTCCATATATAATGTAATAAATTATTTTCCAATTCCCTCTCCTGATCTCAATCACCGCCACCAGACAGAGCTCATCAAAATATGTTTATATTGTCTAGATTGTATTCGTGCACAATAGAAAAATATGACGTTAATTTCGCACAAAAGTTATTTAGTCTCTACACTATAGCATAGAGCAGATTAACACTAGTGAAGAACTAAACAAGTCTGACATTATACAGCTTTGTTCAGAGAACCAGTTTGGACCCGGCAGACAGCTAGGCACCACCTGCTTCCTCTCTCTAAATTATTCGTCTCTTTTCAAAATTAATCCACATTTGCTTGTATATATATATTAAAATTACATACTTATACGTATATGCTTTCTGAATACTTTCCATGGCAGAAGATGCATGATAGTATACATAAACGCTACGCATTTATGAATGTCACTCAACTTTCGAATCGTGCAAGCTTTCACCCATTCGCTGTAAGTTTCACTTGGTGACACGAGGTGAACGTCATGGGCGGCAATAATAATGATGAAACTCTAGGTGAGACTTGCACCTACCACCCAAGTGCTACACTCACCATCCATTAACAACGTCATCCTACGTGGTAAGACACTTCTGTACGTAGTGTTCAGGACATGCGTTCAGTCCATGGACTGAACACATCGACTCTAGGCTGAGGGACTGATTACCTCAAACTCCTACTCACCTCCCACCTTTCTTTGCATTGGACTGAAGAAGCCATTGCCTGGCGAAACGTTTCCGGAATAAAGATTCTCAAATGTTGGACAAATGTCTCATTTACACTGAAATTTGTCATTACAAATATAAATATTTAAACTATAATCCATATGGAACATTTTTTGTGTAATCACCTATTTGTGATTGCAGGGGTAGAGTTCCAGCTCCTGGCCCGTCTCTCAACTTGCCCCTTGTCATATACACCCTCCTGGCCTCGTGGGACCTATCATACCTATTCTTAAAACTATGTATGGTGTCTGGCTCCGCCACTTCGTCGCGGTCATTCTATACTTTCCGACCACCCCGAGGCTGAAGAAATACTTCCTAGCATCACTGTGACTCATGTGTGTCTAACTTCCAGCTGTGCCCCCAAGTACCCGTTTCCAGCCTCTCAAACAGTCTGTCCCTGTCTATCCTATTAATTCCTCTGAATTTTGTATGTTGTCATGTCTCCAATATTTTTTTTGTCCTCCTGGATAACTAGATTCAATCCATTTAGCCTCTCTCTTAGTTTATACTCCTCAGCTCTAGAACCAGTCTAGTTTTGTACTTCTGCACTTTCTTCAGTTTCTTAACACGCTTCATTAAGTGTGGGAGCCACACTAGTACTGCCTCGCATGGGCCAGTAAGCCTGTTGGCAGTGTTCCTTCTTTCTTATGTATACATCACCCAGGATTATTATTTGATTCCTGAAGGCCACATGCATATATACATTCAATGACACACTTTAAGAAACAAGTTGTTGCGTGATGCTGACACGCTAACACGATTTCTCATGAGGATCTGTTAAAGTGAGAGTGAGATTTTACATTTAATTAAGCATTACATATTCCAGCGGTAGAGGAGTTAATTCTTACATTATATAGACGAGTTATCACTTTGGATGAAAACTTTTTCATAGATTTCTCCAGATTAAAATGTCTCAGGTTTGGTCCGAGGAAGGGGAGGGATAGTGTAACAATGGATCAAAGAGTAAATACGCATGCAGCAGAGACGAGCATGACCACGCTCGAGTTGGCCACAGACACAGACATGGATAACTTGAGCATAATGAACACTTGCCAATGCTCAGTAATAACCCACCTGGAAACAGAAACTCAGACCTCAAGAACTAGGAGTGAAGTCCAGCTTATAATCGCTGAACTTGAGTTTAAGAGGCGGCGGTGCCTGGAAGTGTCTTCCATCGCAGTTTAATGCATGATACAAGAGAAAGCAAGAAGCTACATCTCCACTATCTCGGCCCACACGACTTTCAATTACACTTCGCTCTGCACATAATCTAGACACTGTAATCCGTCCACCATTTGAACCTGACCACACCTTACTTATACGTACATTAACTATATAAACTATGCTTCTTGTACCCAATATAGAAGAGTGAACAAGGTCCCAGGACTGCAACGTTTCCTAAGAAATGTCGAAAATGTTTGCTCACGTCTTGTTTCCTCTAATATATATATATATATATATATATATATATATATATATATATATATATATATATATATATATATATATATATATATACAGAGAGAGAGAGAGAGAGAGAGAGAGAGAGAGAGAGAGAGAGAGAGAGAGAGAGAGAGAGAGAGAGAGAGAGAGAGAGAGAGAGAGAGAGAGAGAGAGAGAGAGAGAGAGAGAGAGAGAGAGATATTTGAGCCTTATAAGTTGACTTACCTATTTTGAGCGTGATAAGGTGGGGTGGAGGATTGGGCTTGCCTGCGTGAGCCAACAGGATGTTCTGAGGCTTGAGGTCCCGATGTACAATGCCCTTCCCGTAGAGCGCTCTCATCGACTCAGCTGCACCCACAAACACACACCAACATACGTACATTAGCCACAACGTTGCAGTGTGTATGTGGAACACACAAAATATTACGAAAATAATCTACAGTACAAAGTAAGAGATATTGCAAGTGTTTCTCCGGTTTTCCCTCCAGATAATATCTTATCAGATTAGCACATTCAACACTAGTTAGCTACATAGTTAAGTTTTCTCTAATTTTATCGTGATCAACACTAGGGTAGGTGATGCCTTAATCAACTGTAGTCTGATCAGCATAAACACAGAACATTAATTGCATTATCTGTACAATCATATTTCCAATAAATACTGTAACAATAAGTGTGTGTGATAACCTCTTCCAAGCACCTTAGTGAATCAAAATGATTTTTCCTCGTATGTCAGAAGCAAGGCAGGCAGGTCATACCATCCAGTTGGCTCGGTTAAAACCTGCTTTAATACGCACTCCTCTACTACTTGTACCAACTCCAAGCATTACATATATAACCACTCCACGTATTCTAGTAAATTTACCTGAAAATATAATCTACATCATAAATACATTTTCGTATCTAGACAATATACATTTAGTGTCTAGATAATACACACTGTAATATCTAGATATACATTTTCGTATCTAGAAGTACTTACAATTTCGTCTGGAGAAAGTTTAGAGAGGTCACTTTCTAAGTTTGAGGTCTACAAATCCCACCTCTATGATTATCTTATGATAGCGAGGTTCAAGTTTTCCCAGACATAGTGCCGCTGCGCCAACTTTCCCAATATATCAACAGTATACAATACCGACACGATGATGAATAAGACATGTGCAACATCTGAGTATCTTTATCTGGGAGACGTTTCGCCAGCGAGTGGCTTTATCAATGTGGTAACAGAGGTTGCACAGGTGTTAACAGCATAATAAAGATAGATTTGATCTTTAAATTGGCTTCTTCAAGCTTACCAAGCGCCAAGCGAGACCCAGTTTGTCGCCTGCTGCGTGCTAGACTAGTCGGGAGTCAGCGAGGCCGGGGAGACCGTGACGTTAGGATGGCCAGGGGACCTTGCTATAAATTTACTAGGAAATCTATCTATATTACACTGTTAACACACGTGTATCTAATTCATCAACCTATCGGTATTGTATACCTTTGATATATCACCTGTCAGATAAAGCAACATCATGAAACTTTGGAACAGAGGACATTTCCACAGCCTCTGGCCCAACTATTGGGTATGACCTACTTCCACTGGCGGGTTCCGCCTACCACTGACAGTGCCTTAGACTGCTGCATCCCATCTGGCTCCAGTATATAAGCGACCATCTTCCTGCCTATGTTTCCGATTCATCAAAATTTACGGTGTCCAACACCTGCTCCTAGGCTAAGGGACTGATTACCTCAGTTACTGTTTTTATTTGTAATTCTCCGGAGCTAAGGGACTGATTACCTTCTCTTATACAGTTTTCTGTTTATGATAAAGCCACTGGATGGCGAAACATCTACCAAATAAAGATACTCAGATGTTGCACACGTATCTAATTCACCAGTTGCCTAATATCTGAATCAAAGTGGAATATAGTTTATAGCCGGGTACTTACCAGGTAAGTCTAGTCTTGTAATTAAACCAGGTCTGGGTTATTGCAATAAACCGTGCTTCCTACACGTGCAAGTAAACACACTTCATCATATTTCTTGCACTCAGCTACTCGCATTATAGATCTGGAGGACGTTTTTGACTTTCATCTTTGTTTTTAAACCACCAACTTTCTTCCTAATTCCCAAAGGTTTGACTATATCTATAATATCACTATGATGAGGAGGGGAATGAAATATTCACTACAGTGAACATACGAAAGGAGAAACACTTACCCATCTGTCGCAAGAAGAGACGTATGGTGTCCTCACTTAGCGTCCCCTTGGCTGTGATAAGACACAATAGCATTAGTAGCAATAACTGCCTGACATACTTATTTTATCGCCAATACTGATTTATGGCCTCTTGGGCCTCATTACAGCTATTCTTAAAGTCTTATTTTTAATATACATCCCCCAAGATGGCTCCTTTGTGCCATAGTGCCACAGATTTAAGAGTATACATAGTACGAAGTCATCATCAGAGAACGGCCATCAAGGCTGAATTGCCATTTCCAATTTATACATGCAAAAACATCTCCACATGATTCTTAATAACTTGCAAATACTGAACATTCGGTTACCCCCCCCCCCTTAATCTAGGTTGCAGAACTATCGTCTGTGAAGACATTAACGTCCTCGGGAATACAAACCAGTACAATTAAAATATTAATCAAGGTAATACAATACGACACCTTATACTGGTAGTGAAAGTGAGACAGCTTGAACACCTGTACTGGTAGTGAGAGTGAGACAGCTTGAGCACCCTGTATTGGCAGTGAGAGTGAGACGGCTTGAACACCTGTACTGGTAGTGAGAGTGAGACAGCTTGAACATGATACTATACTGGTAATGAGAGTGAGACAACTTGAACACCCTAAACTGGTAGTGAGAACAGAAATGGTAGAAGAGTAAGTGGTGGTTTAGCCAAGCAGACTGCTAGCCAGGGCTCGTTAGTGAGCCATGAAGACACCCGGGGTCACCTAGAGGACACCCGGGGTCGCTGGCTTTTCCACACAGGAAAGTGCCACTAATGGTATGCAAGAACTAAAGCATGTATTGAGGGTAGTGCACAACACACCCAGTCTGGAATACGAGAAGTTAGCATGAGACGCACAACGAACACTTAAGAACATAAGAAAGAAGGAGCATTGCAGCAGACCTACTGGTCCATGCTAGACAGGTCCAAGTCACCTAGTGGCCTAAGCTGGTCACCTAAGCTGGCCTAAGCTTGGTTAAGAACGTCTTAAAGTTCCCACACAGGGTTGGTACTAGAGCTCAGTAACCGAAACTGTCAACAGTGCACAAATTAAAACCCACTACAGTAAAAGAGAGAGAAAAGAGGGAGTATGATCATAACGCTATTTACAAAATACAAGGTACTAAAAACTACAAGGAGTATACACAGATGGAAATTGAATACCCAAACGACTCGCAGCGATCTTACAGCATTCCAGTGGCACAGCTTCAAATAGAGAAGCGGATCCACAGAGTGAAGCTTAAAACTGAAGCCCCACATACTCAGCAATAAACCACACAAGCACTTAACATGTATGCTAGTAACATAAACAATATTGTAAATGATTCAAGAAAATAAAAATACACTATCAAATAAAGAGGAATTAAGAGCAAGTTTGCCTACTTACCTTGTAGGTAATCTGCCAGATCTCCACCGTTACAATACTGAAACATAAAAATGAAAATTAGTCTTGACAAATCACACCAGAGATAAAGTTAAAAAACAAAATGTCAATATCCTGACCAGGTATTAAACTTGCCTCACAAAATTGTCAAGAAAAAAATATTGAAAAATTAGAGACTTTGCAACATTTGGGTATCTTTATTCTAGAAACGTTTCGCCACACACTGGCTTCTTCAGTCCTATGCAGAAAAAGGTGGAAAGAGAGTAGTAGTTTGAGGTAAACAGTCCGTCAGCATAGAGACAATGTGTTCTGTCCATCAAACGTCAAGATTGATGGACTGAACACATTGTCTAAAGGCTGAGGAACTGATTACCCCAAATTCCTCTTTTTTCGCCTTTTTCTGCATTGGACTGAAGAAGCCAGTGTGTCTCAAAACGTTTCCAGAATAAAGATACTCAAGTGTTGCAAAAATGTCTTCATTTATCAACGTGTCTTTTTTTTTTTTTGGTTTTGTAAACCAAAAAACAAATATTAACACAAAACACTAAGTAGTAGAAAACTAGCCAGAAGGAAGGAAGGATGTTTGTGTATATAATATTGTGTGTAGAGTAAGTGATAAGTTTCACACTAGTTTGTAAAACTGGTAAAAGTTTGGCTACACATACGTGTGTTTTGTGTATGTGTTTTATGTGTGTGTGTGTGTTTTGTGTGTTTTATGTGTGTGTGTGTGTGTGTGTGTGTGTGTGTGTGTGTGTGTGTGTGTGTGTGTGTGTGTGTGTGTGTGTGTGTGTGTGTGTGTGTGTGTGTAATGACACTGAATTCTAATACATAATGCTGTGTTCACTTGTAATGAATAAACAATCTGTCTTTATTTCATCACTTCCTTCTCCTGTGGTTTATTGTTCTCATAAAATTATTAAAGTCGAGTATGACTGGAGTTAATGAGCGAGATTATCTTCCCTAAACAATGGGGGAAGTCTGGGGAAAGTTGTCGGCACGCACTCCATCTTGTTCATCAACTTTCAGCATTTATCCTAGGGCTGAGTGCCACTTTCAGGAACACTTTGCAGGGTCACTCCTCGCACGATACCAGCCAGCCAAGTGTGCCAAATTCTGACTTTCAGTGCCACCAAGCACACTGCCAACCATTCCCACCCACACCAGTTTAATAACATACCTGTTACCCGATCCCATTTAAAGTTTATACTGTATCAAGTCAGACTGTATAAACAAATAATAATAATAATTATTATTATTATTACTATTAATAATAATATTAATATACTATTACTATTAATTATAATAAACTACTATTAATAATAATATTAGTAACAGGGTGGGGGTGGGACTTGAATTCGGGGCAAGCGAGTGCTAAAATTCACAGGCCAGTGCGTTAACCACTTGACCAGCTGGCTCTAATTAAAGATTTATCCAGCTAGGTACAGGGAGGTTAGCATGGGTGGCTTTGAAGGGACGTGAGCCAAAGCACACCAAAGCCATGCTGGTGTGGGATTCGTCTATAAAAAACTACATTTGTGGTCACAGTGGTGGCCCATGCTAACCTCCCTATGGTGTGCAGAAATATACTAAGATTGGTGAATCAGTTGGCTTAGTGGTTGACGCACTGGCCTGTCAGTTTTAAGACTCATTCGCCATAGGTTCAAACCCCCATCCTTTCCCTGGTTTGTTTGCAATCATGTTATTACGATTTCGTGAATAATAATAATACTAAGTTATATTAATAAACAGTGATATTTATATTTTAACTCTGGATAAATTAAAGTGGTGGTTTCAACTGGCAGTTGGAATTTAATGTAGATACCAATAATGTATTGAGTCAGAGTAGGAAGGAAGGAAGGAAGGAAGGGAAGGAGGAGGAAAGGAAATGAAAGGTGGAGGAGGAGGAGGAAAGGAAATGAAAGGTGGAGGAGGAGAAGGAAGAAAATTCCCGCAACACTTTTACAGACTAAAGTTATGTGGGGCTGCAGAAGTGTAGACGACGGGAACAATGTGTCAAGTGGCGTCGTCACTGAAGTAAATATATGTACTGAAAATGGCTGAATCCGAGGTCATCAAGAGACCACCAGAGAAATTATCAACTCAGAGGAAAACAACCCTCTATGTCCAGCTATACACAAACAGTACCAGATGAGCCTGGCCCAGGGCCGGTCTCTGGGAGTAGGAGAAAAACTCTCTCAGAACTTATCAGAGGTATATCAAAGGGATTTTCATTGACAGTTCAAATAAAACTGGCGAAGCTGGTACAAAAAATTAAACAATCAAGTCGAACCTCACAAATCACAGTCAACAGAGAATCAAAGTGTACGGACCTGTGTGTGGAACGTTTACTAATACTGATAACCTAGTAAAATGAATGGAAAATGCCTCTGATATATTCTTTTGTTTCCAGAGTTTTTCTACTCCCAGAGCCCGGCCTTGGGCCGTGACCTCCTACATACAGACACAGGTTATCTCAAGACCTGTAGCTCGTCAATCTTCAATCTGTTAATTCAAGCTGGTTGTCTCAATCTGCAGACTGTTAATTCAAGCTGGTTGTCTCAATCTACAGACTGTTAATTCAAGCTGGTTGTCTCAATCTACATACTGTTAATTCAAGCTGGTTGTCTCAATCTAGACTGTTAATTCAAGCTGGTTGTCTCCATCTACAGACTGTTAATTCAAGTGAGTAAACTGTCAATTTCCCCCCAGTTAACTGAGGTGAGTGCAAGTGCTGTGTTTTAGTGAACTGTTGCAGGCAGCCCCGGTACTGTGACTATTCTTCATATACGTACTAATCTCCAGTCTGTTAATTTACGTGGGTTGTCTACTAATGTGTTTGTTCAACGGCTGACTGAACACCAAGTCTTACCGTGTTCTTGGCGGCGGCCAAACATTAGGAAGGTTTTGTTGTGATTCTCTATACAGAAAAAAATATTCAGGGCTACTTCGAACATGAGCAGTAATACCACCACCTCCATCACCACCACTTCCATCACCACCACCTCCATCACCGCCACCACCAGCAACACCACCACCACCAGCAAGGAAAAAAAATTTGCAGCAACACAAAACTGCAACAGCGACAATCATAGCTTCAGCAGCAACAGTATTAATAGCAACAACAGCTGTTAATTGATTGCAGCAGCAAGACGAGTGGAGCATCATGGTGTCAGCACGTGGTGTAGCTTCGTCTCTCACGTGATAACCACATGTTTGGTACCAACACAAGCACCATACTTGTCAAACAGGCGAGGTAAACACACGGGAAGATCACAGCAGAGCTTAGAGCCAAGACTCAGCCCCCCAGCAAACATATTGGTGAATACAAGAGAGCAGGGGAAGGCAGGCAGGCAGGCGCACACGCGCGCGCGCACACACACACACACACACACACACACACACACACACACACACACACACACACACACACACACACACACACACACACACACACACACGCACGCATTTTCTTGGACTGCAAGAAGGCCTTCGACACAGTTCCTCACAAGAGATTAGTACAGAAGCTAGAGGAACAGGCACGTATAACAGGAAGGGCACTGCAATGGATCAGAGAATACCTAACAGGGAGGCAACAGCGAGTCATGATCCGTGATGAAGTATCACAGTGGGCGCCAGTGACGAGAGGGGTCCCACATGGGTCAGTCCTGGGACCAGTGCTATTCTTGGTATATGTGAACGACATAGCAGAAGGGATAGACTCAGAAGTGTCCCTGTTTGCAGATGACGTGAAGTTAATGAGGAGAATTAAATCAGACGCGGACCAGACAGGTCTACAAAGAGACCTGGACAGGCTGGATGTGTGGTCCAGAAACTGGCTCCTAGAATTTAACCCCGCCAAATGCAAAGTCATGAAGATCGGAGGAGGGCAAAGAAGACTGCAGACAGAGTATAGGCTAGGTGGCCAAAGGCTGCAAACCTCACTCAAGGAGAAAGACCTAGGAGTGAGTATAATACCGAGTACATCGCCAGAAGCACACATTAACCAGATAACGGCTGCGGCATATGGGCGCTTGGCAAACCTGAGAATAGCGTTCCGGTACCTCAGTAAGGAATCGTTCAAGACTTTATACACTGTGTACGTCAGGCCCATACTGGAGTACGCAGCACCAGTTTGGAACCCACACCTGGTCAAACACGTCAAGAAATTAGAGAAAATGCAAAGGTTTGCAACAAGGCTAGTTCCAGAGCTAAGGGGAATGTCCTAAGAAGAAAGGTTAAGGGAAATCGGTCTGACAACACTGGAGGACAGGAGGGTCAGGGGAGACATGATAACGACATACAAAATACTGCGTGGAATAGACAAGGTGGACAGAGACAGGATGTTCCAGAGATGAGACACAGAAACAAGGGGTCACAATTGGAAGCTGAAGACTCAGATGAGTCAAAGGGATGTCAGGAAGTATTTCTTCAGTCAAAGAGTAGTTAGGAAGTGGAATAGTCTGGCAAGCGATGTAGTTTACCTGGAGTTTACCTGGAGAGAGTTTCGGGGGTCAACGCCCCCGCGGCCCGGTCTGTGACCAGGCCTCCTGGTGGATCAGCGCCTGATCAACCAGGCTGTTGCTGCTGGCTGCACGCAAACCAACGTACGAGCCACAGCCCGGGTGATCAGGAACTGACTTTAGGTGCTTGTCCAGTGCCAGCTTGAAGACTGCCAGGGGTCTGTTGGTAATCCCCCTTGTGTGTGCTGGGAGGCAGTTGAACAGTCTCGGGCCCCTGACACTTATTGTATGGTCTCTTAACGTGCTAGTGACACCCCTGCTTTTCATTGGGGGGATGGTGCATCGTCTGCCAAGTCTTTTGCTTTCGTAGTGAGTGATTTTCGTGTGCAAGTTCGGTACTAGTCCCTCTAGGATTTTCCAGGTGTATATAATCATGTATCTCTCCGCTCCTGCGTTCCAGGGAATACAGGTTTAGTGGAGGCAGGAACTATACATAGTTTTAAGACGAGGTATGATAAAGCTCATGGAGCAGGGGGAGAGAGGACCTAGTAGCGGTCGGTGAAGAGGCGGGGCCAGGAGCTGAGTATCGACCCCTGAAACCACAATTAGGCGAGTACAATTAGGTGAGTACACACACACACACACACACACACACACACACACACACACACACACACACACACACACACACACACACACACACACACACACACTTGGCTAGGAGCCAAGACCCCCCTCACCCCCACATACACATATCGGTGAATACTTTAGAGCAAGATGGAAGTTCAACTAAAGGAATGTAAATAGGAACTTAGTAAACCGTTAGCTACTCTTCACTACAAACGGGTACTGTAAGGAGTATGCGGAAACTAGCAAATGATACCTATTTAAAATACAAAGTGGGAGAAAGGTCCTTGGGTGGTAATTACAGATCAAATAGCCCGACCTCGACTGTGGGTAAATTGGTTTAACTGCAGGGAAGACAATACCGACAAAGTAAAAAAACATCCTAGTTATCCCTCTTAAACATCTGGATATTAACACTGTGCTTGAACATACAGATAAGGATAACAACGTTAATCCCATGCATAAGAAAACTCCACTGTGAAGATAGGCTGAGTGAGGGCACTGAATATACTCTTTGGAAAGCCTTATAAGGGCACTGAATATACTCTTTGGAAAGCCTTATAAGGGCACTGAATATACTCTTTGGAAAGCCTTATAAGGGCACTGAATATACTCCTTGGAAAGCCTTATAAGGGCACTGAATATACTCTTTGGAAAGCCTTATAAGGGCACTGAATATACTCTTTGGAAAGCCTTATAAATGAATATGACAAAAGTGAACAAGTGGACAAACAAAATAAAGGAGATCTTTGCTAATAAAGTATTGTAGTGTTGCAGAAATGTCTTTTTGACTGAGAATCTAAGTCTTAATTAAGACTTACTAAATGTAGTCCAGAACAGATTTTTTTTTACAGCAGTTTGTGATTGAACCCCAGGGAATCTTACGAGTTAATAACCTGCTTAATTTAATTCTAAGAAAAAAACCACAAGAACACCCTGATAATGGCAACTCAGATGTTGACGCAATGAACATAAAATACATTTTATGAGACTAATAGATATTCAAGTTACTCTTTGTATTCTTTAAAGTTCAGAACTTATAAAAATTTTTCACAAACAATTCTGGGACTTGCTTTGTCTCTTGTTGGGAGTGAGGTGATTGGTGAATCATATTATTACTGAGTCAGTGACTGGTCTGGTGAAATTTGTATACAAGTTTGACAAAAATTCAGAGATTCCGTGAGATTCTGAAATTAAAACACCGTTTCAGAAAGTGGGAAAATGTGTGTCAATCAAGTTTCCCATTTTCTGGAAGTAATCAGTTACATTACAAACATATTGCAAAGCAAGTTATAACTCTGTACTCACCTCCATAACCAGAAATACGTGGTTGGCAGTTTCCTGGAAAAAAAAAGGTCAAGTTTATACATGTAATAAACAGCAAGATAATTTGGAGAATTAGAGCCACAATACTGTAGTTGCAATAAGTCACAATAAAATAACAATTAGTTGTAATAAGGTACATTTTTTACCCTGCACAAGTTTTCAATATGTAAAGACTAGCAGACATAATTACTGCGTAGCTCTATTGTTATATTTATTGGGAACGTCATACGTGTAGAAGCATATACAAGGGCAGGAAAATGGAGGAAGCAAAGTTTGATCCAAAGGGAAGAACAGCTTTAATCACCGAGTCATAAACCTTCACCATCTTCAAGGAACTCTCTGCCGTATTAACGTGAAGCATTATAAACAAATAATATATTAAGAGTGTAGTGTCAACAATTAGTGGAGCGTCCAACGACGTCTACTGAGGTTGTTACTACAGCTGAGTCAGCACATGATAATATCTGAAGACCTCTTTTACTGCTCCTGATGCCATCACCTTTCTCAGTTCCAGCGTCGTCAACACCCACTTGTGCCACAACGAAAGAGGAAAATGTTTTATTTAATCCACATCTAAAATGTTCACCAATTTTACAAAATGTTCTAACTCGCCTCATGCTAAAATAAATATTCTAAAAAATGAGTTGCAGGTTCCGATTGAGGTGAATCAACACTAGCTTCAGCACTGACTCAATCAACACACGCACGCACGCACGCGCACGCACGCACGCACGCACACACACGCACGCGCACACACGCACGCGCGCACACACACACACGCACACACACACACACACACACACACACACACACACACACACACACACACACACACACACGCCAGAGACGGGTGTTATTATCACCTGAGTAGTGTTGATGCTCACACCTCACCAACAAAGCAGCCTTGTATGCTTGTACAGGGTGTCGACCTGCGTCGCCCTTGAAAATGTTCTCGCATACTGATATCATTAGCGGGGTTCCACAAGGATCATGTCTCGCACCAATGCTTTTTCTACCTTACATTATATGACTTACCAGAAGGAATAATTATATATATATATATATATATATATATATATATATATATATATATATATATATATATATATATATATATATATATATATATATATGCGTGCTTAGAATTCGCAAGAACATGCGAAATATTCACAAACACTGATCTCTGGCCGAAGGAGACTCGAACCTTGGAACAAGGTTCGTAGGTTCGCTTATATATATATATATATATATATATATATATATATATATATATATATATATATATATATATATATATATATATATATATATAAATAAGCGGATAATGCAGAGATCTTAAAACCATTGACTGAAAAGTGTTGTGTTAAATCTGAGATAGCTGACCTATCTGAGAAGTTATGTTTATTAATGAAAAGTTATCAACTGGAAGACTTTGATGGGTGTCTGGGGAGTGTCAAATTGTGCAAGGTGGCGCACACTGTAGGTGGGTGGCAGCTTGGTAGGTAATAACACTCGGACTCATTGTGGCAGTACTCAGAAGCTCTTCCTTGTTCAACATAACAAAGAAGGAACACTGCATTACCTGAACGTTCATTTGCCACCAACAGATGGATCCCAACTTATGTTGCATGTCATTAAATCAAAGCCATAATACCGACAAATTGATGAATAAGTCATACGTACAACACCACGGTATAAATAAGGACCCGTTCCCCCGAGTGTTGCACACGTCTTACCTTCCCCCGAGTGTTGCACACGTCTTACCTTCCCCAGAGTGTTGCACACGTCTTACCTTCCCCAGAGTGTTGCACATGTCTTACCTTCCCCCGAGTGTTGCACACGTCTTACCTTCCCCCGAGTGTTGCACACGTCTTACCTTCCCCCGAGTGTTGCACATGTCTTACCTTCCCCCGAGTGTTGCACACGTCTTACCTTCCCCCGAGTGTTGCACACGTCTTACCTTCCCCCGAGTGTTGCACATGTCTTACCTTCCCCCGAGGGTTGCACATGTCTTATGCTCTGTTTACCTCAGTCTGACACTACAATGACATTTCTTTCAACGCTTTAGTATGAATTTCATGAACCACCACTGTTAGAGATTTCAAGGGTTATTCTAGCCTCGGAGACCGACCCTAGGTCAGGGTTCCTTCTGGATTGTCTAAGCTGTTGATGCTGGGGGCTCGCACCTTCACATAACCATCATGTTATTAGTTAAATCATTTCTTAGTCTTGTAATCGAGTAAACGAAACTGAAGACTAGTTCAAGTATAGTGCCCTAGTAGCATAAGAATTATTATAATAATACTGAGAATCGATAAATCCGTAAGGGTCATCCAGTGTGCCATAGAGAGCATAATTGTGGTGATAACTGCATATTTGAAGTTAAAAATGGCGTCAGAAAATGCCTCCTAGTCTGAAGCTACGAAATATGTAATAATAACAAAAATATGGTGTTTTCATATGCCTTTTTTTAAAGAATGTGAAAATGTCCTGCAAATATAGATTTTCGTAGACAGTGTCAAATTCTTCAGCCTCTGAGCTGCGAAAAACTCTCAGATGTGTCTATGATACGTTAAGGTAATCTAGCTACTTTCACTACCAGCATTACCTCTACCACTACTTCTCCACTTCCTTCTTTCTTCCTCTCTATGTCCCGTCCCTGTCCTCCTCTCCTATATATACTGACTCGCTCTTCTTTGTGTTTTATTCTGACTAGTCAATGGTCCAAGTCGAACCAAAACGTCATCATAAGCTTCTTTCTCTTATTTTCGGGCTATTTGTGTAGTGCATCCTGGGTAATCACACGCTCTATTTACTATTTACTAAAACTGAAAAATTTAACTTGGCAAAATCGGATACATCAGCTTAAAGAGCTGCTACACTATTCTATATGATACAGTAGAAACAAAAATTAGCTGTTTCGGTCATATTCCATCACACAGTGTGGGTTACATCATGTTAAAATGCGTAAGCTGAGCTGGGAGATTTCTGTACGGCAATATCATCAAGTATTGATGAACAGGTTGAAAAATGTGGCAGAAATACAGGTATACACTTTATCCCCGTGTTGAAGGTAAAGGTTACACGAAGGTAACGCTAAGGAGTGTGTGACACGAGTAACGTGTACACCGTACCACACCTGCTACAGGTGTTACTACCAGGTATTCCCCAGGGTCATCCACACACCTGGCACCGCTGCTCTTTGCCCTCGACACAGTAATGACACCTGTGCCTCCCGTCTACCTCACCTACTGAACTCGACATTATAATAATGGCGAAGCGCTAAACTCATAGGAGTTTTACAGAAACTGAGAAATTTAAGTAAGTTCCCCTGTCTTCTAATAACATGTTCATTTTTCCACTATAATCTACCTTGTCCATAATTACTATCGCATTTGCTTTGTCTGTTTTCGTAAAGTGAAGTCCAGGATCTTTCCTTAATTCATGGTATAACTTAACAAATCTTTAAGGACAATTGTGTCACACAGGTTTCAGTTTTGCTCAAATCTGTGCAACACATTGTCCTCTTAACTATACGACGACCCGCTTTGTACCGCCTTAAAACCATGATAAAACCCTCAATACTTCTCTCTCACATTTTATAAAAACTGGTCCAGTTTCCTCTTGGTTCCTGGAAAATATCTAAAATCTACTGGAAGAATTATAAAGTTGAAGTCTTGTGCTACTGATGTTGACACCTCTGCTCTTCACTAGGTTATGTTCTACACTTCCTTCCGTAGAATGTGGCGAAGAGATGTATTAATCTACATCTGGATTGATCCCAAACCTGCCCACCGAAATCACTCCATATGAAAGCACGAGGCTTGGCAGATGGTATAAGCTTCCTCCTAGGAAAAGCAGGGGCACGATGATTACACTGAGGACTCGACAAGTATAATGAGACCACGACTCTTAACATCTTTCCATCGTGTATAGGAAATTATCAACAGACCCATGGCTGTCTTCAAGAGGGAACTCGATAAGCTCTTCAAAATAGCCCCTGATCAGCTGGGATGGGGTGCCGACGTTGGGCTGAGGGTGGTGGACACCAACAGCCTTATCGAGGACAACAATCAGGAGGCCTAGTCTGGGATCGGGCTACAAAGGTGGCCCGATCCCAGAAGAGAAAGCGACTGCAAGCAACCTAAAGGTTATATAAGTAACTGCTCGCAGATTAGAAAAAATGACCTTCGAAGATTTTTCGGTGAATGGATTATGGAACGTCTCTTCTCCGTTTTAGAATACTTTGAGTTTTGAAGTAAACGATTCTTATATTTTCTAGGTTAAATATCCATATAATAACTGGCGTGGTTTCTAACGTTTTAAAACCTCCCACGACCCACCCTATTGTTTTCCTGGTCTTCGCTTCACTGTCTTTGTTGTGTGCTCTAAAGGTTAGATGGTCAGACATAAATAATCCTAGCTCCTTTACCTGTTCCCGCCACTCAAGAACCAGATCTAGCTACGTTTTATATCTTAAACTTGATTTAAGATCTTTCTTCCCGCATCAGTTCCAACAGTGACAAAGTCACTGTTGGAACTAATTTATCCTGAACAAGTGAATGAACTGAGTATGAATGGAGGACAACACAGAGATGTGTTATGATCTCATTACAAAGGATCTGTGCCCACTGAAATCCATCCACCACAGTAAACAAGAAGCACATTTACTTTCCAACTATTTAAGCAGCTACGATGCCTCCTCTGGTAAGCTTTACTTGTTAGTTTATATACAGACTTCGCAGATGATGTTAGGCCGCTGTCAAATTACAAAGGAATTTCTAGCAACAAACGATAAAGTGTAAGAAAAAATAGCTTTCACTTACATTTTAATATTTGGTGACTGGTTACCAATGTCAGGGGGGTTATACAATCAGATTATATATATATATATATATATATATATATATATATATATATATATATATATATATATATATATATATATATATATATATATATATATATATATATAATATATATATATATAAATTAAAGTACATTTCTTAAATCCA